TATTTGAGCCTATATGGCGACAAGAGAGAAGTCAAGATATAATAATAAGGAAGGCATGCGCCGCGCCTTTCCCAGAAGCGAACTGCGGGTGCGGATGTCGTGTACGTTGAGGGTGGAAATACGAATGGAGGGGTAAGAAAGTGCGCAGTAAGGAAAGGATGGGCACTATGATCCCCCACTTTCACCCCCTCGACCCCCTCACTCAAAACCATCCCCCTTTCATCCCCAATCGACCACCCCCGCGTGCATTACCTACACACACACACAATATTATACAACTTCGTGTCCTGTATATATGTTACTATTATTCTTTATTTTGATAAGAAAAAAAATATATTTTTTATAATTTTTTTTATAATTTTATAATTTTTTATAATTTCAAAAATTTGGTACTTTTTTTTGTAAATAAATTTTTCTATATATCATATTTAATTACACTGGAAAAAATTTATTTGATTCAAATAATCGGTTACTTTATTATAAAATAAATATTAACTTGAACTGAATAATTTTTATTTGAATTAAATAAACGCTATTTGTTTCAAATACAGAAATTATTGGTTCCCACTTGGAAATATTCCCCCGGAAAGTGCCCCCTGGAGGTTCTATCAGAATTCCGCCGGAACTTCCAACGTAATTCCGTCGGAATTCCATCGGAGTTCCAAAGAATTTTCGATGGGATTCCGACGGAGTTCCAACGGAATTAGGACGGAATTCCGATTAATTTTTTTCAAAATTTTTAGAGTCCTAATTCCAACGTAATTCCGTCGGAATTCCATCGGAGTTCCAAAAAATTTCCAATGGGATTCCGACGAAGTTCAAACGGAATTAGGACGGAATTCCAATTAATTTTTTTCAAAATTTTTAGAGTCCTAATTCCGTTGGAACTCCGTCGGAATCCCATCGGAAATTTTTTTGAAACTCCGATGGAATTCCGACGGAATTACGTTGGAATTAGGACTCTAAAAATTTTGAAAAAAATTAATCGGAATTCCGTCCTAATCCCGTTTGAACTCCGTCGGAATCCCATCGAAAATTCTTTGGAACTCCGATGGAATTCCGACGGAATTACGTTGTAAGTTCCGGCGGAATTCTGATAGAACCTCCAGGGGTCACTTTCCGGGGAATCTTTCCAGTTTAAATACAATTTATTTGATTCAAATAAAAATTCTTTGGTTCAAGTAAAAAATTTTAGTTCAATCATTTCAGATAATTGAAATTATAATTTTATATAGAACTTATAATTTATTTAATTTATAAATCAGTTGACTATTAACAAATAAATGTCTTCTTGAATCAAGTAAATATTGACTTCAATAAAATTGTATTTGAATTAAATAATTAAATTAATTTAATTGTAATTTGGACCAATAATTTCTATTATTTGAAACAAATATTTAATAAATTGATATAATAATTATTAAATACAAATAAATATTTATTTATCTTTTATTTGGTTCAATTAAATTCGTTCAAAAATTATTTTTAAAATAAATAAAATAATAAATTATTATAGAAAAAATAGTAAATTTGGTCTTTGGTTGAATAAAACTTTTCTCTCAGTGAACTAATTTAAACAATTTTAGCTATTTATGCAAAACCACCACTCTATGAAATATAATCGAAAACTCGTTTTACTTGATTTGATTTATCACTGAAAGTATGCAAAATATTATACATAGATAATTTATTTTCCTTTTGCATAATTTCTCTTTTAAACTGTTACAGTGATGAAATCATTTTCTTATCACGTGTAATTAATGTTCGAACGACGACAAAATTTAAATCAAACCTTCTTCCTATAATAATAATAATAATAATAAATTTGCCTACATCATAAATATATTTCACCACTTTTACTGCTCTTTCAAATAAAAAGAAATAGAAAAAAAGTTTTTTAATTTTTCTCGAATATTATTTATTTTTTTTTTTGGTGACAAACTTCAAATGAAAAAAATAATAATAATAAAAAAAAGAAGTGTTAGAACGTGGAAATTTTTTTTTTTTTACATAAAACAAGAGTATTTGCGTCTTATTATCAGAGGGAGAAATAAAAGAAAATGATGGAGCAACTGATAGGGTTCATGGGAGGCAGACGTTATAGCCGGCAGACAGACAGTTATTAACTTCGTGCGAGTTCGCTAAAGCGTCTAATGTAAAATATCTCCTCAGGACGCACGAGCGCGAAACATACGTGATACGTGTGCATATAGTAGTAGTACGACCAATAATAAACACAAACGCGACCAAGAACGTCCGCTTATGAGAGAAAGAGAGAGAGAGAGAAACTGCTTCTTTTTTTTACCGAAACACGCAAACCTATTTTACGCCGGTAAACAATATTTGCAATATGCAATTTTCTCTAGGGTTAAACTGTCGCTAAAAATTTATTCCTAGAAAATTGCTTTCTATCGATTTCTTTCCCCAGGGTGTGCTGAGAAACTTCTCTATACAAATCAATATACGTATACAATAAATATTTATAATTTTTTATAATTAAATTTTTTTTTTTTTTTGAAAATTATGGTATTTATTTATTAAATAGGATGGAAATTTTTTTTTTTCGATAAAATTTTTATAATAAAAATAAAATTTTTTATTAATCTATTATATTTCTTTTACTGCACAAATTTAACTAAGTAAATTCTATTTTATAACAATTTTAATTTATTTATTACTATTTATTTTTATAATTATTTATAATTAAAAAAATTTCCATGAAAAAGTGAACAAGTACGTACGTCACGATGACTAAATTTGTCTGTAAATTTTTTTTTCAAATTATTATAAAATAAAAATTAGAAACGTATTTAATAGAATTTTTTATTTTATAAAAATTTGGTTTTTCAGGGTGTCTATTAAAAATCTGAATTAAAGTTCCAAGACTTTTACAGGACAAATTTCTTATTTTTCCAGTATATTAAATTCGATGACCTTAAGAAATAAAAAAATTTTTAGTTTAACTATTCACAGAAAATTATAAGGTATTAAAATAAACTGCAACGCTTATTATTTTAATCCAATTTTGCTTATTTTAATACCAAAATGGATTAAAATAAGCAAAATTGGATTAAAATAATAAGCGTTGAAGCTTATTTTAATGCCTTTTAATTTTCTGTGTTGTTTTCAGAAATTTAATTAAAAAATTAATTAATTAGGTACTTAAGTAAATTTCCATTTTACTTATTTTAATGAATTTTTTTTTAACATGATTGACAAAATTATAAATTTTTGAAAATTTAAAAGCAAAATATAAAAAATTCAAGGACAAAAATTAAAATTCCAGGACTTTCAAGGACATTTCCATAGGACTAGTAGACACCCTGTTTTTGGTCACCGTGACCCAGGCACAAAAAATTCGTGGAAATGTCGAATTTATTTATAATTATTTATTTCCAAATCAAAATTGTTGATGAAAATATTTTTTTTTTGTTTAAAAAAATAAAAAAAAATCAATCTATATATAAACATATTTTCAACATTCAATTTTTTTTTGTGTAATAAATAATTAAATACAAAGAAGTGTTGATTAAATTTTACTTGAACTCTAAATTTAAAATTTTGGCCTGGAAATATATAAAATGAGCTCAAGGCAAACAGACTGTCTGAATTATTAAAAAAAAATTCCATTCATGAAAATTTTTCAATTGTATTTTTTTGATATATAATTATAACATAATAATAATAATAATAATAATAAATTTATAGCAGTAATATAAACAAAATTTATATAAATAATAACGAAGCTGAAGTACGCAATGTATATATAAACGATTTTTAAAGAAATAATTTTTTAAAATAAAAAATTCTTTAATTTTTTGCCTAAAAATTATTTTTTTATAATTTGTTGATTAATAAAAACTACAAGAAATATTTTTTCGACAAAAAATTATAGAATTTTTCATTTTAAAAAATTAATTCTTTAAAAATCGTTTATATAAACGTTGGGTACTTCAGCTTCGTTAATAAAATAATAAATTTATATCAACAATGTAAGTAATTTATCCATATATAAATAAAAAATAATAATTTTTACATTCTCATCATATCTCTCATTTTATAATATAATAATATTAATTATTAATTATTATTATTAATTAAGTAGAGCGGAGCTCTTCTGTCAAAAAAATGTAAATATTATATGCAGAATAATTAATAAAAATTTAATTAATTAATTAAATAATAATAATTGAATTAATAATTATAATATATTTTAAATATTATCATAAAATATATTAATTTTATTTATATTGATTTGTATATAATTTGCAACAGCAACAGAATATCCTTAGAATAATATAATAGTTGATATAAAATCACAAGTCTTTTGATCCAAATTCAAAAAATCGATAATATAATAAAATTTCGAATTTGGATAATAAAAATAGCATAAAAAAACCGAATGATTATATATATATATATATATAAAAGTATATAAGCCGTTCAAATATATGTATATATATACGCGCGCCTATAAACTGTGACGCGAGATACATCGCCTCCTGTTTCATAGCGATAAGAGCCAATTCGCGGACCAACCTTATACGTCATATCGGAGCGAGAGAGAGAGAGAGAGCAAGTATAGTAAATGTTGAGAGGGTGTTGTTGGCCTCCGAAGCGAATTCGTTAACAAAACTTTGTACCGCCGCGGTAACCAGACAATTTATAGCCACCACAAAACGTGCGAGGGATGATAGCACCACCACCAGAGCTTTAGCAAAAGGACCATTAATCGAAGGGAGGAGGGGGGGGGCAAGAATATGTCTATACAATATAAACACACTCATAAAAATACCTTTTATATTAATAAAATATAAACAAAACGAGGCACGATAACGTAAGCAATTATTAATCATCAATAAAAAAAACAAAAATTATAATCCCCTTCCCTGAATATATTATTTTCATTATTGCTCCTAATTAATTTTCCAAAACAAAAATAATAGTAATAATAATAGTAACAATAAAATTAATATTACAATACATATTTAAATTCTTACCTTGACGTAGAAAATCCTCCTAGATAAATCCATACTGAGAATGAATCTGAAACAAAAAAAAAATATTTTGAAAATAAGTTAGGACTTGTATATATTTATAGGATCCATAGAGAGCATGGTACGCGCCATAAGTAAAAGTGACGGAGAATCGAGATGGAGACAAAGAGAGTGGAAGTGAGACAGAGAGAAAGAGAGAGAAAAAGAAAGATGAAAGGAGGCACAACAAGAGAGTTGAGAGAGCGTGAGAGAAGAGACTTCGGTGGGGATGAGCAAAGAGAAAGATTCAAATTTCAAATATGGCGCGGCGGTGCTGCTTGACTGTGGAATGCGGTTGTTACACGGTTGTTATAAGTGTATAGTATATATATATATACACTATAGCAAGACATTTATTTTACGGCTTTGTTCCCATTGACGAGAAATTTTTCACTCTTGTTTTTATATACTATATATATAATATACAACAGACACATGTATTTTATGTACTCTCTCTCTTTCTCTCTCTCTCTCTTGTCTTGTTTCATTATGAAGTCTCAATTAGATTTACGATCTCGATTCACCATTACGTATCGTTTAAAGTAATTCACAACTTCAATGAAGTCATAAACATTAAAATAAAGCATGTACATATAAAAATTAGAACTACGACGTAGTTAACTTCTCGATATAATTTATATTCATTAGTTTTTTTTTATTTTCAAAATTGTAAAAAAGAAAATAAACTTTTTTTTTCACTTTTATTGTCACGTGCTATAAGGAACGCCAAATGGAAAGCAGAGGGTAAACGTGGATTTAATGTATTTGAACACGTGGTCTATTATATATACACATATATATATATATATATATAGTGAGGTTGTCACGCGGCACTTCGGCAAACGCCATGATTAAAAAGGCAGTAGTATAGCTGGCAAAAATTTGCGCACTCAGTCATTTTGAAAATTACATGTTATTATTTGAAATCCTTTTCGAAATTCCCTTTGTAAACAGTTTATTCAGTTGAAAAATTCCCCGATGAGCTTCTAACTGTTCGGCAAAAAAAAAATATTTCAAATTGACACCAATCAATCATTTTTATTTTCCTAAATCATATAATTTCATTATGCAAAAATTTTTATAATTTTCAACTTTTCAAAAAATAGGGAAAATATAATAACAATAGTTTTTTTTTCATGTATATGTTTAAGGAAAGATCAAATATTCGAATCACGTGACACTCTTCGCGTCTGGGTACTGAATTTTAATGACAGTTACTTCGATCGGAATAAAAATTCCCGAAACAAAAAGGCCACCGCGGTGTGTATCGCACGTATATACCACGAAACAGGAAAAAAAATAACATCCGAAAAACGAGGATTTATAGAGGCGCGGGAAGAAAATGAATATGATAAGGGATCGGTTTTCAAATACGCGTATATATTTCTTTCGAGAGAGAGAGAAAGAGAGATTCAATTTTCCACGCGAGGAAATGTGCCGTGTAACTAAAATTAAACGAATTTGGCGACAATATCTCTTCGAGTCTTTATAACATAAAAATAGTCTTAATCCACTTAGACTCTTTTTTTTTCGTAAATTCATTTTTTGATAATTTTCTAAAAAAAAATAGAAACAAAAGTTTGCACCAAATCAAAATTAGATAAAACTGTATTAATTCAATATTAACGAAAATAATAATAATAATAATAATAATAATAATAATAATAATAATAATAAAAATATTAATAATAAAAAGAAAATAATAATACAAAATTAATTTTTCTTTGACATAAATATCATATATATATGCTCCTCAAGAGCATATATTTTGTCGAAAGTAATTTAAGTTTTCCAGATCAAAGACTCGGTGAGTCTATACGAGAGGATATAAATTTTAACTCTTTATCCATCTTTGCAAAATGAATCTGCGCGAAAATTTTCCGATAGAAAAAAAATAAAGCAAAACCTTATTTAAAAAAATATATTTTTTATAAAAAAAATAGTCTATTTTTGAATTATGTCGCAAGATAGGTAAATTATTATATATATATATAGAAAGAAGAAAAAATAATCTCTCTCATATATACAACACACTCAAGTGTTTAGTATACTATCTACCGTGTGAACGTTCGTTTCGATCTTGTCATTGTGTGCACAGATAATTTTCAAGATTAATCGGAATGCACCATTCATTTTACACGCGAGTAAATATGGGAAAATTCCTACTGCGGTGAATGAAATGATGAATGAACGTTGCTTATATATATACACAAGCAAACGAAAAGCTACTTTTGACGGGACTTCACATATATATTTTTTCTTTTTTTAATTCACGATAAACTCTTAAATATTTTGTAAAAATAATAAATTATATTCATAATGATTTTTTTAAACTCGCACTTTTTTTGAAAAAAAAAAAAATTAAATTACAAAACATCGATGAATAATAAGAGAATATGTTTTTCTGAACTATAATAAAAGAATGTTATGTTGGTCATCGTGACGTGGATGTCGGAAAGTAAATAGGAAGTGTTTTACATAGCGAGAGACTAGAAGAGCTCAACAATCAGCCGCGAGGTCAGTGACTAAAGAGAAATATCCTGGAATGTGACACTATATAAAGTCGTAATAACTAAATTGTACATTCGGTCAAGTTGAAACAGTATTTCAAGACAATTGGAGTAGAACAAAATATTTTTTTCGATATTTTCATATAGTAATAAATAAAACATTGCTTTACAAATTAGAATTAAAAAAAAATATATATAGAGAAAAAAATGTAAATAAAAGTTACATAATTGTAAGTTGAAAAAAAAACTAATTACAAATTTGAATAAATCATCATTATTTAAGAATTTATTTTTACAAAAATAATTTTGTAAACAAAACAATTAGCGTTGTTTATTTATATAAATATTATCTATTAAAAAGAGAGATAAAGAGAATACACGTGCCACACACAAGTTCAAAACATTTAAATCGACGAAATGTCTGATTGAATTTTGAATTTTATATTGCAAAACAATGTTTTATCTTCGTTTATTATATTATCAAATTTCAACATCTGTCAATATTTTTCTCTAAAGAAAAAAAAATTTTCTTTTTGTCAATAACAATTTCTTTTTCAATAATTAAGATTAAAAACCAAATTGCCATAAATTTATGTCAGGTACGATCTTTTAATATGAGAACACGTTTTCCTAAACTAAAAGAAGAGCAAGGTCGTATGATACGCTCCATAAACCCCATTTTAATATTCGTATTTTTCACTACACACAACATAAAATCGTATTTTCTAAAACTAATTGTGAAATAATATAATTCGACCATTGAAAAATTTCGAAATTAATCACATTATTAGGAAACAAGAATCCAATAACGAGATTTCACTTCAAATCCATTAAACATTTTTTCTAAAAAAAAACAAATTGAATGTTGTTTTTTTTTAATTCTAATGATTTTGAGATGATACTTTCACATTTTATAAATCAACCACTGGAATTTTTGAATATTAAAATCTTGAGACGTAGAATTCTACATGAAGCAAAATACTTTCACATAACTACAACCTTGGTCATTTCAAACAAGAATGTGGAACAATATTTGGAATTCCAAAGGGTCTGAATGGATCACAACAATAAATAGATAATCAAATTAACAATAGCGATTTGTAAACAAAAACAGTACACAATAACTAACTGCATTCATACGATACTGCACAACATCTATCCACTAGTCAGTTTTGTTTGTAAATAAATCACTGCACTCTATATTTATATTCACTGGCCGTCAACACAATTTTAAAAAGTAAAAATAGAGAATAATTGATGGTAAAATGCCAAAAGCGGAATTAAATCCCCAAAAAAATTTGGATAAAAAAAAACACTGTATCGGAAAGGGCTCAAAAATTGTCATATATTTTGTCACCGTCAAGGTGTGATAACGCATTTCGAAATGACAACACATATACACACACCGTTTCGTCTCAACTTATCGACGTGTCTGCTAAAAATTCGCAACAAAAGATAAGAGAGATAACAAGAACCAAAGTAGCTCAACCTGTGTTGGAGGAGGCACTGCGTCATAGTTACTAGCGGAACCGTATGTTGAAAGAAAGCGGTTGAAGGACGCCGACCCGAAATATTTCCCCAAGCAAAAGATTAAATGAATTTACACCTAATACACTTGTTCACAATATATTCTTTACATAAACTCAATTGAAAATAAAAACATAAACACATTTCATATCATACTAGTCATTTTCTATTATTACTAAAAATATACTCACTATCACACTCTCCGTCAAGATTAACGCGAATAGGATGTGTCATAACCTCAGTGTGTGACAAAAACACCATTACATCAGATCACCACTCTTTTTTTTCAAAAGAATTCATGTTTATAGCCGCGGCACTCTATTACAACGAGGTCGAGGTTCAAAACCGGCAAGTAACACACGTTACGCGCACTAACACACGATGCCCGTAATCGCAAACAAGAAAATCGGTGTTTTCACGATTCGCGCACAAGTTGTTTACCACGCCATTCCCCCCTCAAATTGAGACGCAATGAGATGCGCAATCAACAACTGCGCACCTTCCGGGACATGTTTATCCCAAGTGCAGGATTCCCTCGCCGAAAAAAAACAATCACTCGTTATATTACGTTTTTTAATAACAAGAATATCACTCACGATTATATTAAATGACGATTTTTCACGAGGAATGAATTAAACACACGATTAAATAATGAAAATTCACTGTAAAATGAGAGAGAAACTTGGCGCGTGCCGTCCGGTTTAAGATGTTGTTTATTTGTGACCACCACTGCCACCTGGTGGCGATTATCAAAAAATCGATGTTATCGACCTTTTGCGCGGGAAAATTTAAATACTAACTTTTTAAATTTTTATTTCCATATTTTCTCATTACTTCTAAAAATCTTTTTTTTAAACATTTATTGAGAAAATTAAAATCTTTTATAGTAGTAAATGTTAAAATTAAATATAAGAAATGTAAATTGAAAATTAAAAAAGAAAAATAATAATTATTTATTAAAATACTAAAAAAAAGCGAAAAAAAAATAATTTAATTAATTTAAAAAACAAATTTTTAATAATTATGTTGTCATTGTCAGAAATATTTAAAAAAAATAAACAAAAAATATGTGTCAAATTTATTTAAAATTATTTTTATTATTTTTCGAAAACTTTTACCCAACAAAACCAATTGAATAAAAAGCAATTTAATAATTAGAAAAATAAGAAAAACATGGAAACTATTTTAAAATAAATTAGACGAAATTCTAACTAAACTACTCTCTAAAAATGTAACTACCTAAGTAAATTTAAAAACGTCTGGTGTCATTGTGGCAGTTCCCGTTTTATTTTATTTTATTTTTTGTACGGCGAAATTGATTTTTTTTTTTCGTTTAATATAAAAATATGTACAGATGCTGAAATATCAAGAAGTACTATTCAAGGTTTATGGCAGTATTTGTACCTGTTACCTTTAAAATTTTATCGGAACTCTTTGCCACTCGTATCCTTTCTTCTGGTTTAAGAATTTCAGCAATGATTTTCTCATCACTCAATCTCTCCTCGGTGATAAGTGACGTTTCTTTTTTAATTTGTGGATAAACAATTCGAGGCTGTCCAGTTGCCTCTTCCTGCACCGCAGTCAATGGATCATTTTGAAGACACAACGGTGTCACTCTACCATTAATTTTAGTCTCTGAAGGCTTTACCGATGGACGTGAATTATCCGAAGGCGAAGTAGGAACTGATTTCTCTTCAATATCTAACGTAATACTCAATATCTCCGCTGGCTCTTTATACAGCTAAATATACAAAAATAAATTTCACATTAAATTTACAAAAAAAAAAAATAAAAAGATTATTTTTTTTTATTAATTAAAAATTTACCGCATCAAATGAAGAATCTAAAAATAATTCTTGCAAAAATCGACGAGCCGGTATTCTGTAAGTATTACTTCCTAAGCGAGCAGAAACCTCGGAAAATATACAAACATTCTGAAAAGAAAAAAAATTTGTTAAAATTTGAAAATGAGAAGTTTAAAAAAAAAATAAAACTTACTTGAAATTTCTCTGGATACCTCTGACGCAATGTTAACAATGTTTGTTTACTATGCTTATATAATACAGGATTTGCAAGACGCTGCACGTGTTTAAATATATCCCTTAAAAAAAAGTAAAGTAAATAAACGTAACTTTAAATAATTAATTATTAATTAATTTTTTTAAAACCTACCTTGTGATTTTTGATTCCGTATCAGTATCTTTAATATTATTTGTTCCAGTGTAACAAATTAGGCACACACGATTATGATCACCGGTGACATCATATTCCGAACCTGATTCCTCATCGGCGCCACATGAATCAATTTTTGATTTTTCTTCCATTTTATTACCCTTTAAAGATGATCTACTGGGAATGGGAAACATTGTCGTAAGTTTCCTCGGAAGGCAAATACCCATGTATGATGATTTATCATTATCAGTCGGTGGTGGCAGTGTCGGTGGTGGTGGTGTTGATGACAAAATACTTTCAGCAATCCAACTTCGTGAAAATTCAAATTCAGACAAACTCTGCAATGAAAGTCTACCATCTGAACTATACATCTGTAAAAATAAATTTTTAATATAAAATAAATAAAAATTTATTTCATTCAATTCAATAACTTTATTTACCTCTAAACTGCTTTGAGAAAAACTCGGCCTACGATATCGTTGAATAGTACGAAGTCGAGCATAACCCTCAGCATCTTGTTGACTTAATCTCTGAACACTGGATACTGGACTCGGAGTCTCGCCTCTTTCTCTGAAAAATTATAAAATTTATTATTAACTGCGTTATAAAAATGATTTTTAATAAAAAAATATATTCTTACGGAAGAATGAGTCGTCGAACTTCCAATTCAGTAGCCGCGCTCTCTGATCGATTTCTCGTTCTTCGAATAACTGGTTCGGGAAATTCGGGTTTACCATCGCTGAGACTTCGATGATGTCGTTGAACAGGTGGTGGACTAGGTGATTGACAGGGAACACTTGGTTGCACAACAGGCCATTCTTCACCTCTTTTAAATCTCACGCATGGCCAATTCAATGTTGTAAGTACATCCGCGCCAGCACGATTTGTACTAACCAAACTCAATGAATACATTGCCGTTGCACGCACCACATAATAAGGACATGTTTCTGCCATTAATGTCAACATTTCAATAATTCCCAAATTTTTCAATTGCTCCATTCCCTCGGCCGATGTTCCAGCATGGCCCAATACCCAAAGTGCCGCTTTCACTCTCAATAATCTCCCTTCAAAAGAAACTAAATTTTCATCACGTATTTCCGATTCACCACCCTTCCAACTTCTCTCCGGTGTTGTGCGTCTCGATTCATCTAAACTTAATTTCCTTCTTATTTCAACAAGAGAATCAGCTTTTTGCGGTGGTTGATGACTCTCTGACAATTCCATCACTTCCGAATCAATAATCGTTTCCAAACGTGTTGATTCGGCAGCCTCATCGGTTCCCGATTCTTCTGATACCAAATAAGAATCTTCAATTATTGAACGACTTCCTTTCATTATATTTTTCAAATTCACTTCCTGTTCACACATTCCAAATTCATAGCGAAATCTCTGTACAACTCGAGCGAATCTTTGTAAAACATTACGTCTCATTAACAATTGTAATCCCAATTCATGTTGCACTAATTGACCAATTAAATGTGGTGGTATAAAAACATCACGTGGTGAAATTGGAATATTAGTATTTCTTCGCATATAACTACCATTTTCAGCACGTTGTCTACGTGTTAAACAATCATGAATTTCACCTTCAATTAAACCAACGTAACGTTCAGCAAATCCTCCATTCTTCATCCATTTCTCCAATTCCTCAGCCGGTGAACTGAGACTCGCAAAACCTGATTTTAAAGAATAGAGTCTTATTTTCAATAAATAACCACGATCACCCAAATTCAATAATATTTTATCCCAATCTTTATTTTGTTGAAAAAAAACTTCCAAATATTGTGGTTCCTCGCATGCTTCATGAAGAATATCAAGAGCTGCCGATGCAACAGCTTTACTTGAATCAGACAATCTCTCCGATAAAATTGTAATTGCCCATTGAAAAGCATCCTTCATTTTTGCCCTCAATATACATCGTAAAAATTGTGTTGCATAAAGTCTTGTACTCTCTAATGAAGATTCAGATATTATTTTGTTCATTACTTTTCGATTAACACCATTGCCAGTATAATCTAAACTTGACATTATTAATTTCACATAACAATCATGATTTGTTGTTATTGCAAGATCTTGTAATTTTTGCAATAAATTAAAACTCTTAAGAATCACTGTACCTTTCGCTGAATGACTCATTTGACCAAGAAAGAGAAAATATTTTTGACAACATGTCGTTGACATATGACGTGGTGAAAATAAACAATCATGTGCCGATTGTACTGTACGAATTGCACTAATTTCATTAGCAATATCAGCTACCAATTCATTTAAAAAACGTGTACTATCCGGCTCGGGTATTTCCAATAGACAAATAATTAAATGACTACCAGCTAATGTTGATTCACGTGCAAGTGTTGCCGTTCTTCCCAATTCAACACGACTAAATTGATTTGACGATGGCTTAAAGTAACGTATCAATTTCTTGATAAATAATCGATGATCTGAATCATGAAGAAGTTTAAAATAATCCTCACGTGAATGTAAAATTGCACGAATAATTGGCCAATTCCAAGAAAGTACATCGCGTTGTGTGAGAACTTGTGATTTTTTTAAAAGTACAGCTGATGATGTTTCACGTCTAAGCCAATTTTTCGGCGTCACTGGAAGATCAGTTTTTGGTATTGTTGATCTCAACCAATTTCCCCCTTGTATCATTCGATCGAGAAAAAGACTCGTTGGCGATGGTCGTTCACGCATCATTGAATGCATTCGTCCAAGTATTGTCACAGCTGCCAATGCTTGATGTTTACCGCGACTTGCATGAATCACCAAATTAGGCAATGGTGGCGTAAGATCACAAACCTCAGGTGGAAGTAGTGAATGTGATAAATGTAAAAGTCCACCAAGAAGAATTGCAGCACGTACACAAATAAATGTATCCGATGTGACAATAGCCTCGGCCAATGCTTTATGTAGACCACATTCCAAAAGTACATAGACCAATAGTGCAAGATGCATTTCAGTGATATTTGGACTTCGTGACATTAATGAAGGAAGTATTGTTTTTCCCTCAGCGGCAATGAAACCTTCGGATAATTTCCATGTCTCACGTACTCGATTTGGATCAACGGCCGATAGTGCAACATCCGGTTCATCTGTCCACAATGGCAATGGTATTCCCAATAATTCATAGAAAAGTTCAAGAACCGCTCCTCTAACATCCTGTTGTTCCACATAAAGTATATTAACAATTGATTTCAATCCCGATGTATGATTTGGATTACAAAAATGAATAACGCCCGAAAATGATCGTAGTACACTTAAAAGTGCATGTTTACTGGCAGTAAATTTTTGTTGTCGATCTTCACTTGGTCGCTCCAAACCTGGTGAATGTAATTCACAATACGGTGTTGCCAGACAAAATAGTGAAACATGATTTCTTGTCTCCGGTCTTGATAATAATCGAAGAAGAACACCAACTGCCGATTCAATAATTGATGGACTTTGACCATTCATTGCGGCACGTGCCAATGTTGATATACCACCGCAATTTATCAATAAATTTGAATTAAGAACACCTAATTCACAGAGTGTTGAGAAAAAGGCATGAAAGCCACGATCCTTTTCATCGATACCACCATTAGTTAGACTTATCAGTGATCTTGCTAAAGCAGGACTAAAATATCTTGGAGCAAGTACCAATATTCTTCGTACTAAACGTAAAGCTTGTATTCTTTCCATTTCAGTGCGAAGATTGATGTCCATACTACGTGCCAAGAAATAAGGATACTGCAGCTTGTTGATCGACACAACATCTTGCTCTTTTTTAAGCATATAACGAACAGCACGCAATGCCGCTGCACGCACCTGTGTAACTTCATGAATAAGTCCCACACGCAAACTGTAACATATTAATATTGAAACATCATCAACTTTGTAAGATAATAAATATTAAAAAATTTAAAAAATCTTATGTAAATGAAATTTTTAATTATAAAAAATTTACAAAACATTTATCTAAAGCGGAGGAAAAAAAAAACACTCACCAACAAAATAGTTGTTCAACAGAATATCCAATATCGTTGGCGTCATTTTCCCTAATGAGCTTCACGAATGCATTTAAATAGGCGAGCTTTTTACCAGTCGAAACTCCTTGCCGTTGACAGAGATTACTTAAAGCCTCTTTAATATTTTCATTCAAACCTAAAAAAAAAATATTTTATAAAAATCGAAAAATTTCAAATACGTCTTCATTCATAAAAAAGGGATTTACTTTTTCATTTCACATTTGTAAATATTGAAAAAAAGTATTAATAAAAAAATTAAAAATTAAGACACAAACAAAAAATATTTTAAAATAAAAGAGGTTAGGTCAGTAACCTTTTGACAGATCGAGTTTCACACAGCGGTCTTCGTTATCCTGTCGACCTAGAAAAGAAAAAGGATTCAATTGAAATATAAAGAATAATTTAAAAAAAATATTACTTTAAATTAATACATACTTCGATGAGGTCTACTACTACGAAGGCTTCTACCCCATATCATCCAGCTAGATATTGCCATTTCAACGTTGATCACCTTCTTCGAGACACACAAGCCATTGAAGCACTAGACAGGCTCAAACTATTGTTAAATCAACACATAATGACTTGAAAAATGTCATCTTGAAAAATTAGACTCATCCACATTTTGTTGATTACTTTTTAATTACTTTTTAGATTATAATCACATATATAATAGGCAAAAACGTCAAAAGAAATCCGCATCTCAAGTCCAATTTCGAGTTTTAGAACTCTCAAAACAAAAAACTTTTTCAATTTTCCTCATTTCGTCAATTTGTTTTTTTCTCTATTAATAATATCCTCAACATTTTCTAATTTATATTAAACACAATTTTTATATAAACCATTGACATAATTCTTTATTAACTTACACCACTATATATGAGTTTCACGTTTTTGAGGTTATGTTGCACTACATTTTTTCATTTATACAACATATATTTTATGTTTAAAAAATATTTTTAGAATCAATTACTATTTATATCCTTGAAAAACAGCGGTTTAAAGATTATTTACGGATTTTATAGAAAATGTGATTTCAGATTTACAGGCAGGCAAGAGATTTTTATTACTGCTTACATCTTTACTTTTTTATGTGGTGGCAATACTTTTTACCGACATTTCCCGATTGAACACGAATATTTCCGATTTTAATTCAAAGAAAAACCGTTGTGAAGTTTACGAGTCATGTACGTCAATAGAATTTTATAACATTTAAATCCGCTTGTTTATTATCAAAATCCGGTGATATAAAATTGATTATTTTGTATTGAAAGAAAAATACATTGTATCAAGTTCTTGTAATTTGAGAAAAACTTGTCAAACAAGTAAAAATAAAGTGATCTATTTTACATCAGTGATAAAATAACCGTCATTTAAAAAAAAAGAAGAAAAAAATGCCTCCTGATTCACGAAGCGTCTCTTTTACATTTCATCGGGATCTTTTAAATGCCGGTAATAATATTGAACCAATGCAAGGACGTAAAAGTTTGCGAAGAAGATTACAGGATCGTTTCGATGATAATGATAAATTATCAAATAATTCTCTTGGAAAGGAAAAAAATTCGAAAAAAAAGCAGGATTCTGATTCAGGAAAAAGTTGGCATAATTTAAGCCTTGGAAATGTAACAACTGATTCTCGAAAAGTATTACAAACTGGAGCTGAAAAAATTTCAAAAACATTTTCAAATGTTAAAGTCACTTTTGGAAGTATATCACAGGTTTGTTTACAAGTTAATTGCTTTTTTTCCTTTTATATATTTTATTATAATCTCTATTTTTAATAAATAAAAATTTTCATCTTTTGCAGAGATTTAAAATTCCTACACGAAGACGTCAAAGATTAGAAGAACAATTTACTCCGGATATTAATGCAATTAAATCTGAAACTCCACAAACTCGATCACGAGATTTATTGGGACGAACTCCTACGAAATTATACAGTCCTTTTGGTATTGAAACTCCATTACGCGTGTGGGACAAAGAAAATGATCCGACTGAATTTGATGATACACCAAAATCATTTAAAAATAGTAAGCATAAGAGATTTTTTAATTTTACAAAAATTAGCGGTTTTCGTAGCATACGATAAACCTTGTTTGTGAATTTCAAATATTCTTAATTTAAAAAAAAAAAAAAAAACTAGTATAAAAATACTAGATCCAAATTTTAAATATTTAACACATCGAACATTGTATATAAACATTCGATACATATATACTCATTTATGTATTATTTATTTAATATTTTTCAATCAGGGTATTCTTTTTATTCTTTTTTTTAAATATAAAAATAAAACCAATTTTTTCACTTTTATTCATAAATTTTGATTTTTGATATTTGATTAAAAATAATTTGATAAAATTATCAAATTAATTATTTCAATTTAATTGTATACTAAACAGTTTAATAATTAAATTAAATTAATTTAATTTTAAGTTTCTAAAAATTAAAATAGTTTCGTTTGTAAAAAATTTCAAATAAATAATCTATTTGGTCTTTAAAATTAATTAACAATTAAAAATTGGTTTTATTTTTATAATTCACATAATTAAAAATAAAAATATGTATTAAATACACATAAGTATACAATACTATTAGCATAAAATGTAATTTTCTACATTCTTGGAATAAAATTTATTTAATAAAACTTGTTTTTTTTTTAATTTATCTTTAAATTAATTTTAATTTAAAATTTAATTATATCTTTTATTTTTTATTTTATCATACTATATTAAACTAAATTATAAATATAGAAAGAAAAATAAGTATTGAAAAAATAGATAAACAAATTAATAATAATATAATTAATTAACTTATTTAACTAACCTTTTTTTTTATAAAAAAAACATTCAAAACTTTTTTTTTCACGCATGCGCCAATAAGTAAAATCCAGTCTTCAAAAGCGATTTTCTTTTTTTTTTGTACGGCGTCACTAGTCATTGTAGAATCGACGCGTCAACAGCATATTCATTTAACGATTTTATCATTTCACTTTTGTTGTTAAAAGATTCATTTCCAACGTTGAATTTATTTTATTTCGTGATGTATGCTACTGCTTTATGGAGCACAATGGACACCGTAATTCCAGTAATAAGGTAATTAATCGTTTATTATAATTTCTTGTGTTACAATTTTCCACACATTTTGAGGTTATGTTTTTATTTTCAAGTTATTCTCACGTTTAATAAGCATATATTCTTGTTATTTTTATTGTGTTTAAAGCTAATCATTCTTTAGAACAAAATTTAATGAATTTTTTTCAAATTTTAATGTATTAAAACATTAATTCTGTGTTCTTTTGACAACTTAGGGGGGGAGGGGGAGATACATGCTTGTTTTTAGAAAAAAAATTATTTTTCTTTTTCCTTTAACTTGAGAATTCAAATTTTTCCGCCTTTACATTCAACCGGAAATAGGACGCCATCTTCTTTTATAGTTCAAACATTTGTCGTTTGGCGCGTTAGTGTCGATAGGTAAAATTTAAGGTTGAGGGGCAGGTCAAGAACTAAAACCGGGCTTTGGCTTGGCATCAAATACTGTGATCAAAGGCTGAAAGTGATATTGAAAAAGGTTCGTTTATTCTTTAATACGAACGAGAAAATTCTTTCAACCAAATTTTGAGTTCGCCACGTTGATCGTGTAAGTAATTCGCAAACTCTACGTAAGCGTTCCGATTCACGCGAACGATTCTCTCTCAAAAAGTTTTGATAGTCGCCAAGTTTTAGTTTTTTCATCTTCGTCCATTGGAGTGTATCAAATAAACTTTTGTAACGCGTTACGCGAGTGCTTCTTTTCAGTTTTCTTCGACTTTGCGGTCTCTTGTTTTTTTCGTGGCATCTTATTTTTGAGTGGTAAGTCACATACTTTGGCGTTTTTTTTTTTCTCTCTGTTATAATGATTACTCCCTGGCTTTGGTCGATCGTTGCGCCAAGCTTTCCATTTTACCGCCTTTTTTCTTTTTTATTTATTAAAAAAAAAAAAAAAAAACCAGGTCACGCGGACATTTTGATAATATTATACTTTTATCAATAATCGTATCGGCGTCGTTTTTTAATTCTTTATTTGTTGGACATTTTTAATGGGTGTTGCAATGTGAGGACAGGAAGTTGGTGTAGAGTCATTTCCTGTTTTACGGCTCATGGCATTTATGATGTCCTGTGAGGTAGTACATAACGTGAATAAACTATTTTTAAAAAAAATGCTAAACAGTTAAAATTACTAGTTTTATACATTATTTATTTTAAAAATAGATTTTTATGTTATATTTTTAAAAATTTAGTTTATTGCTTCCTAACCTCAAAATAGTTAATATTTTTGCATAATTGAAATATTTGAAAGGTATCAAATTTCTAATTCATATAGCATTTTTATGCTCCAATAATTAAATTTGATAATAATTGGTTATTATATTTAATTTTATTTCGATTTATGGTCTTTTAATTATTTTTATTAACATACAATTCTCATGAATACAAAATATTACAAAAACAATAATTAATTACATTAAATTACTGTTTAAAATAACCTACTGAAATTAAATTTCTCGTACCTAATATTTTGTTTCTGTTAATATTTTTCTATATATTTTTTTTAATTACTTTCTGAGAAATAAAAAGTTTTACGGATGCAGTTATTATTTTTATTACTTATAATTATTGTACACTACAATAACTTAGGAACAAGAAATGTGGAAAAAATCTACTTTAAAAGTTTAAAAGAAAAAAAAATAACGCTAAATATTTTTAAATAAAATTTTAGCTTTATTAAATATTTTATATTTAATTTTAAAATATATTTAAGGTGAAAATTTTACAAATATAAATTCGTTATACATATATATATATTTGAGAAATTTAATTATTATATTATTGAGGGGTGTATTTGACATTGAATTTAAGAAATAATACCTGAAGGTCATTTTATTGTCTTTTAAATTGCATGGCATTCAGGTAAACTAAATTTCAAAAATTCATTGGTGTCTGTATATGCAGAAATTTTTTGAAAATCCATCGTTAAAATGAAATTTTCAATACCTGCGCCATTGTTTGAGAAATGTAGAGGTAAAAGAAAATAGATTCAAATTGAAAATTCATTTAGTCCTTTTTCTACCTGTACTTCACTCCTTGGCATTGTGTGTTTAGTAAAAGAGTAATACAACGATGGAATTTCAAGATTTGCTAGTTAATAATCCCAGGTTTTTGTGGTAAGTCGAAAAAAATTTTTTTTTTTTTTTTCCTTTGAGTAGAGAAAAATTATGTTTGTAATGAATTTTTTTTTTTTTTTTTCTTAAAAATTTAGAAATTTAATAAAATTAAAATTGCACAACTACTAATATAAATTTTTTTTTAAATTTGTATTTAAAAAAAAGAAAGAAATTACAATTTTTTTTTCACTAAGAATTTAAAATAAAAAAAAATTCTACTAAATGTAATCTTCTCTATACAGATAAAAAATTTTATGTTATATTATGTTTTAAAAATGTCATCTTTTTTTTCATGATAAAAAATGGGGAATGAAATTATTTATAAATATGTATAATAGCTTTGAATCCGTCGTAATTAAATATGAAAGACAAAAAAATGTGATTTTGAAATTATAATTCAATTTATTTTATTTTTTGTAATTTAATTAAATTGAATTAAGGAAAATTTTTTTTCAAGTTAATTGAGAGTAAATCTAATTTTTTTTTGCATTAAATTAATGTTCTAGTGGAATAACTTGTTACGTGGTTGAAATAGGTAAAAGTACTGATAAATAATTAATTTATTTCAAGAGTATATTTAGGAAAATTTTCAAGTAATTTAAAAGATTTCTTATTCTCTTCAATTTTGAATTTAAAATTTTACGTCATAATTTTTTGTTTTATTATTTAGTTAAAAGGCAATATAATTATATAGATCCTTCTCAGGTAATAAAATTTACAACCCTTGAGAAAAGGTCTTTACACTAATATTGCAATAATAATTAAATTGTTTATTTTTTTTCAATCAAGGTCATTTGACCATCAGACATTGAGAAAATTAATATCAAACAAAAGGAATACTTAGCAAACAGACAAAAGATATTGCATTTATATAGATGAGGTAAATAATGCATATTATTGTAATTAGAGAGTTGAAAATTTAATTAAATACAAATTTTTAATTTTTATTATTTTTGAAAACTAGAGAAGATTTAAATACTTATTCTACGTAATATAATTAATTAATAAGCGTATATTTATTATAAAATAAATATATATCTTTTTTTTTCATTTTATTTGCAAAAATTAATATTTTTTAATTTCTAGGAAATTAAAAATAATCTAATATATAATTTATTAGAATAAAATAGAAATTTAAGTAAAAAGATTTTTTTAAATTCCATTCAATTTTTTTTTTAAAGTAAATTAGTTTTTTTAAATTAAAATTTCTGAAATTAAATTGAAATCTGTATAATTTTGACGAATTAATTGAATTTTAATTTCATGAAATTTGTATATTTTTCGTGAAATTAAATATTCAGTAAGTTCTTCTGAATTAATTGTTTCAATTAGAAGTGCAAAGATTGAAAAGGAAGAAGTTTTCGTCAATTTTCTATCTTTGTGTATTATTACTCTTATAAAAAAAAAAATTACTCTATGCCTGGATTAAAATTTAATTTTTTTTTTGAAACTTTTACGATTAGAAAAAATATATGTATACTATTGTAAAGAAAATGAAAAGTAAAAGTCCAAATTTGAATTTTTCCCCTCCATAAACACTTTGCGTGTCTATATATTCCGCTCAAATCCTCATGTTTGCTTTTGTTTGTTTGTTTGTTTCTCAAATGCAGGTCTGACGTCGCACTGTTTATGCGCATATATAAATTTATTTTCTATTTATTTTTTGTCTCTCAGAAAAAAAAGATGATATACGTTCTAGTGCGGGCCATCATCTGCTGCTGGCACATGGCACCGTGCATAATAGTAGTAACAAATTTGTTTATATTTTTTGTATTTGCCGATCACGTCAATGGTTTTTCTTGGGAGCAGTGGAGGCAGCGGCAGCGGCACCAATTTACAACAGCAACAACCACAACATATTCCAGTATTGGTGACACCAACAATAATAGATCAAAGAATTGTCAACGGGACTGCTTGTCCAGATATGACAGATCATCAACGTCAACAACAACAACAATTAAGCAAAGGCAACGGAATGGATTCACGAACGAATTTGATTATAAATTATTTGCCTCAGAGTATGACAGAAAAAGAACTCTACAGTATGTTTGTTACGATTGGCCCGGTTGAATCATGTAGAGTCATGAAGGATTACAAGGTGAGATTAATTTTTTATTTAAAACCTTTTAGCTCCAATATTTTAATTAGGAAATTTGTCAATTAATTTTTGTATGAAATTTTCAGACTGGTTACAGTTATGGTTTTGGTTTTGTTAACTATGCAAAAATTGAAGACGCTGATACTGCAATTGCCACTTTGAATGGACTTCAAGTTCAAAACAAGAAACTAAAAGTTTCACATGCTCGTCCGTCTGGTGAGGAGATTAAGGAGACCAATCTCTACGTTACGAATTTACCAAGGTATGAAAAAATTAACTTTTTATTGATTTCTATTTTTCTATATAATTATCTAATTTTTTTGATGTTACAATTTTTGGATTTTACAGAAATACAACGGATAAGCAGATCGAAGATATTTTCAGTAAATTTGGAAATATCGTACAGAAAAATATTCTCAAAGATAAACATACAGGTTTACCACGAGGTGTTGCATTTGTAAGGTAAGTTAAATAAAAAAAGTGTCTTTTTTTTTTACTTTCTTTTTTGAATGATCGATATCGGTGAAAATTATTTTTAATTGCCCTAGTTATAGCTTTTGATATTTAGTTGGGAATTAAAGCAAGAGTGCTAGAATTTGAAATGTATCCAAAATTAGCGAACAGGTGCGAGTATGAAACCACTGTCATTGTGCAATGAGACACTTGACAAATTTACGTTCGACGAAATTATTCTGGTTTCAATTCTTATTGACCGGAAAATTATTAATACATATATAGCGTACAAAATAAAAATTAACGGAATTTTTTTTGCGGGATTATTTTTAGTCGCAATGAAAATTTAATATAAAATTGATTTTTACATGTTACTTTTTTTCAATAGATACGATAAACGAGAAGAAGCACAAGAAGCGATCAATTTTCTCAATGGAACGATTCCCGATGGTGGTTCTGAGCCACTCAGCGTGAAAATAGCCGAGGAACATGGAAAACAAAAGGCGGCTTATTACGCTGGATGGCAAGCGGGCTACAATCAGAGTCGCGGTAAGTTTTGATTCTATTTTTTTTCCGTTTTATTGACATTAAAAATTTATTATCGTTTTTGTTTCACTAATGTCAATTTAATTTACATTTTTATATCGTTTTTTTTTTAAATTGAAAATCGATATACTTTTTTTTTTTTTTATCAAACGGTCGTTTATTTGGTTTTTGACATTTTTCTTGTCAATTTCGTTCGCAAAGATATTTCGCAAAAAAAAAAGAAAGAAACAAAATAATACAGTAAATTCTGTATTTGTCTGTTTTCCTTAGTATACATTTTTTTGTCCATATATACGTTTTTTTAAAAATAGAAAATTGAACGCGTCGTACGAAATTGCCAGGAGCAAAAAATATTATTTTTTTTTGTTGCAAAAGAAAAAAAAACTAATAATGTCTGAATTCTTTTGTCAGCTAAACTGCCTCTTAAATAGGACACCGGGTGACGTCTTACGAATTAGATCGTCGAAACGAGAACGATCAAAAGCTACGTTTTTTTGAGTTTTCTTAATTATTTTTTTTTTTTTAAACAAACGTACACAATAATTTCATCCCGGCGAAGTAAATTAAATTTAGCCGAAATTGGCTCTAAGAAAAGGAAAATTATTATATCGCGAAGCGATAATAAAGAATAAATTGATCGGTAATATTGTCGAAGAAAAGGGAAAAAAAACGGTAGTGTTGTGTAAGTGATGATATAAAAATTGGATTTGATAAACATCGAAGAAGATTCAGAAGAATATGGGACAGAGAAAAAATTTTGTCTCGAAAAAAAAATTCTACTGATGAATTTCTAACGATGCGACAGATGGATTATTTCATTTTTTTTTCTTTGTTTCTTTTTTTTTTTTTTTTTGAAATTCGCGGACTCAGTTTAAGTCGACAGTACCGTTAAAACACTGTTAATGTTTGTTTTTTTTTTTTCATTTTTTTTTTTTTGTATTTTCATTTATATTTCGCCAGAATTTTTGTTATTTTATTCGCGCATTGTATCATGTAACACGTTTTGTGTCGCATTTTTTTTTTTTGTGTATTTTGTACATCATTTTCAACAAAAAATATATATATTTTTTCATCACGTTGTTCTGCCTTTCATATTTCCCCCCCCCCCCTTGAATTATCTTTGTTCTTTTTGGTTTTTTTTGGAAAAAAAACAAATTTTTTGTATTAATTTCCTTTTAAGTTTTGATAAAATGGAAAACGTTTTTTTCACTTAATTTTAATTTTGGCATTTTCCTTATTTTCCTCGAAAATTCAAACTTCTTTTTCTTTATTCAAAATTTGTAAATGGAAAATTGGATTACAAAATTTGGTGGTAAATCAAAAATCGTCGAAATTTCAGGTTATTTATTAACCGAAAGAAATGGATTATAAAATATCGATTAAATCATTCTTAATGTTGATTCCTTAGGCTATCAAAAAAAAAAAAAAAAATTCTGTCTGTTCGATTAAGTAAAAATTTCATCAAATATTCTTTCGATTAAATGAAAATTCCACTAAAAGGAAATTCTATCTAATGAAATGAAAATTCTAATGCAGTCTAGGGGTTGTGTCCGAATTCCATCACAAAATTAGTAGCGAGAAACTTAATTGAAATTAATAGCGAGACTCGTTCGTGAAAAAGTTAGAATTGGAGAATAAAAGGGAGAGACTAGAGAAGGAGGCGTAATTTTAATTATTTTTTTTTTTGCGTTAATTTAACGTAGAGAAAGAGAGAGAGAGTGAGGATTTTATCTACAGAGAGTATTAAAATTTACAGGAGGTGGAATGGCTGGTAGGGGACGTGGAGGGCCACCAGTTGGTGTTGGGATGGGAGCAGGAATGCCAGGTATAGGTGCAGGTGGACCACCAGGTATAATGGGCAGATCGAGTGGTTTTGGACCCCGTGGAGGTCACCATTTTGGCGGGGGAGGTGTCGGTGGAGGTCCAGGCGCAATGAGAATGGAAAAAATGCATCCACATCGTTTTAATCCAATTGGCATGAGCGGAGGAATTAGCGGCGGTGGTGGTACAGGAGGTGGAGGTGGCGGTTATGGAGCATCAAATTTCTGGTGACCACCTGTAGATACTGGTGTGTCCGAGTGACATCGGCTCCATCGCCGCTCCTTAGTTTTTGACGACGGAGTTTTATAATCCAGCGTTCATCGTGTTCTCCATTAAAAAAAAAAAAAAAAGAAAAGAAAAATATATTATATACATATATATATTATATATCTCGCCCGAAGTTATCTCCGTCGTTAAAACTAATAACCGAAGCCTTCCTTTTTGCGATTCAAAAATAGAAAAAAAAATAGTCTTTTAAAATTCTGTAAACTTAGTATTTAAAAATGTAAACAAATTATTATTTTTTTTGTCTCATTTTCCGAAAATTCGGAAAGATTTTTTTCTTTTTTAAAAAATTGAAAAAGGGGGTTTTTCATTTTAATCATTGTGTTAAATTATTATTTTTTTTTTTTTTTTTGCTAATGTACCGATCTTTGAGATGCGGCTTTTAATAATTGATAAAGTACGGATGTTGCTGATGTCACAAATTTGTTACATATAGAATTGATAAAAAAAAAAAAAAAAGAAAAAAAACGACGTTTACTTCGCGCGTTTTCAACGTTTTTTCGCGTTCGTTGAAAGGAGCCACACACGCTGGGTTCTGCTCGTTGTTAAATGTTTCCTTTTAGCTTCAAATAAAATCGTCTATCTATGTTAGTTTAAGGAGATTTTTAAAGAAAAAAAAAAATGAATTCCAGATCACTGAGAAGAAGCTTAGATAGGATTAAAAAAAAAAGGCGATGATTCTCATTGAATAAATGTAAATAATTAGCAGATGTTCGTATTTTGTATCGAAAAGACACTCATCTTAATCATGTGCGGACATTATGAATTGTGCGTTCGACAATACGAAGTATCCAAATAGATTCTATGGCTCAACTTTTTCTCAGTGGGTGCATATCGCACACGTGGATTCGTCTTTTCTTTGATTAAAAATTTGTTTGAAAAAAAAAAATCAATTTTTTTTATTGTTTCGTGATATCAACTGCGTTAATTGTTGGAAAAATCGCAGAATAATAATTTTCATTATTATTGAAGACGAATTCGCGAGTGCGTTTTGATAGCTCGTGTAATTTTTTGTGCGTATGTTAATGAGTTTAACATGAGTATAATTACAGCGAAAAAGCACGTTGTTATCGCAACACTGTACAGGAAATGTGAGACTGACTTTTTATAGGTGATAAACTTTTAGAGAGACGATTGTCTTCATTAATCGGGGGGATTATATATTTTTTTTTTTTTTTTTTTTTTTTTTTATTATTAGTTCTAGGATGTTCTTTTTTTTCGTAAATATCTATTTTACATTTTTTTTTCTTTTACAAATTAACAAACACTTTTTTTTAAATTAAAAATATTTCTTTTTAAATTGTAAATTTCTCTTTTATAATTTAAGTAATTATTTTTTTTTACAATTTCAAAAGAGTTTTTTTTTTCCTTTTACGATTTGCTTGTAAAATTTGAATTTTTCTTTTATGATAAATTAAAATTTCTTTTAAAAATTTTACAGTTTCTTTTATTTTCAATTAAATTTTTTTTTAACGTAAAATTTTTTAAAGAAAATAAAAAACCAAAAAAATGAATTAATTTCGAAATTTTAAAAATCTATATTACAATTTTATTAATGACTATTGTGAAAATAATATTAATTGGGGTTTTTTTTTTAAAAAAAAAAAGGCTTGATAGTAAGTCCCTGGTAATGATTTCGTAAAATCGTCACGTTTAGATCGCAGATTTCAAAGATCTAGTTTCTAAGTTCATTTCACTACGTTTCATTGCGGACGTAATTTAAAGATACAATTACAATTATTGAAGATACATTCGATATATTTAAAAAAAACAATAAAAAGTTGATTATGAAATTCTAATAAATTTCTTGTCTTTGACCGTATAAATAAATATGCACAATGACTTTTTTTCCTGATGATAAAAATGTCAAAATAACGGTCATTAAATACAAGCTTCTGAAGTAGTGAGAATCTTATATATCGCCTGTACCAATACCTTCAATAAATTTACGTTCTCACCAAAATTTCAACTGTCAACATTTTTGTTTTATTTATGTTTTTTTAAGACAATATTCTTGTTTATTAACTTTAATGATTTATTTTGAATTTAATTTTATAGATATTTATTTTTTAATAAATTTCAGAATTTTATAAATAGTAATTTTATATTTAAATTGAAAACTCGATTTTGAAATTTGAATTTACAGTAAATAAAAACCTTTTATTTAATCTCAGTTTTGATTTATTTTGTAATTTATGAACAAAATTTTATTTAGATTTTTTTTTTGAAGAAATTCCTCACAATTGTCCAAGAAGAGATGAAGATCCAATCGACCACAGCGTTGCCCTTCAAAAGGCAGCTCGCAATTTTAAATTTTAGCAAAGTGCCTGATGATGAGCCGAACTGTAATCGATATCCGCTGCTTGTTTTTTTTTTTTTCGTTTCCAATTTTTTATAAACTATTTTTTTAATTGACTTTTACCGTATATTTTTCTTGGATTTAAATTACAATTATTGTTGAAGAAATATTTGCAGAACGAAGTTTTGAACAGTGAGAAGATTCTCAGAATACTAAAAGTAATTTCGCAGTTTGAAAATAACTGAGGAAAAAAAGGAAGTTTTCATATCAGAACATCCAACATGTGTCAAGGATCTCGTGATTAGGAAGCTGCAGTGGGTGTGTGTTGAAGATATTAAAATTCAAAATGCAGAAAGGAAACAGGAAGGGGTGGACTCATGAAATGTCAATCATTGATTACAAATTTACAAGTTAATTTAAATTCCAGAATGTAAGTTTAAAAAAAAAATATAATTACAATTTAATTCTAAATTAAAATTTATAAATAAATAATAATTTTCAATTGGAAAATATTTATTTGAAAATTATTTACTTTAAAATTGAAATTTATAATTTAATACAAAAAGTTAATTAATTCAAATATTAATTTAAATTCCCGATAAAATTATATTTCACTTTTATTTTTGTTGAAAATTTTTTTTAAACTAGTGTTCACAAATTAATATTATATTTTTTGGAGGAGATTATAAAATTTTTACGAACAGACTTGAACGACGCACAGAGTCAAACTGAATAGTGTTTCCAGCTTCAAAATTAAACACGTGGTACCCACACTTCTTTCGTCTCATTGGAAACAAGAAATTCCCCTGTGAAATTCACAAGGGATGGATGGCCCTTCGCATTTTAGATTCGAGAAAAACATGTTCAGCATAAGGTAAAAAAAATTTACTAAATCATATTGCCACTACAATAAGTTTTTTTTTATAACTTTTGATTACAAACTTATTTTTTAATTGAAATAATTTTTTTTCGTACTCTATATTAATTTAAAAAATAAATATTTTTTTCATATAGAATTAAAAAAAAATTATTGCATTGAAAAATAATTTTCAAAATGAATAAATTAGAAAAGAAAAAATATTTTCGAATTTTTTGTTCAATTATTAATTTTATGCATGAAAAAGAAACTTCACTGTATACTTTATATTATTTTTCTAAATGACTTTTTTTAAGTATCTAAAGATTTTCAAGAAAAAAAATTCTTTATTCTGTTCTAAGAAGTGCAACTGTTAACATATGGAGTTTCTGTAAAAGAAAAACCTCTTATCCCAAGCATCTGGAATCATGGCAATGACCTTGTTAGAACAGTTTATATACTTGTATTTTGAAATTTACCATGGAAAGAAGTTTCTTTTTGATAATTTTAATTAATTAACAATAATTTGAATTAATAAAATTGACTAAACACTATTTTTTTAGAAATATTATTATTTATTAACAGTTTCATAAAATATGTATAACATTAGTTAAAAAATATATTCTATATGGTACAAAAAAAATTATATAATGAATAACAGCTTATAAAATTACTTATTTCTATAAATTATAATGAAAATTGCACAATTTGTTTTTTATTATTAAATTCAAAATAAAATTTTTATAATGAGCACAAAAAAAGAATTAGTACTCGATAGTAATTGTTTTTGTTTTCAGATATTCATTGAGTGCTTCCTGGCCTAAATCTTTGCCAAAACCGGATTTTTTAAAACCACCAAAAGGTGCTGCAACATCTGTTTTATTATATGTATTAACGAACACAGTGCCTGCCTCAATTTTTTCGGCAAATCTTAAGGCTCTCGAAATATCCTTTGTAAGGACACCAGCTGCAAGGCCATATTCTGTGGAATTTGCCCGAGTCACCACACGATCAAGATCTTTCGATGTAAATTTGGAAATTATCATTATTGGACCAAATGATTCGTCTCTTGCAATAAACATATCATCTGTGACGTCAGTAAAAATTGTTGGCTCAAAATATAAACCAGGACAATTTAATTGTTTACCACCGTAAACCAAACGTGCACCATCCTCAAGACCTTTTTTTGTGAATTCAATTAATTTCATCAAATGAGCCTTATGATTCTGAGGTCCATGTGCTGTTCCACGATCCAATGGATTGCCAATTGATAGTTTTTTCGTTTCCTCAACAACTTTCTTCAAGAACTCATCGTGTATTGTCTCCTCCACGAAAAGACGACCTGTAAGTTAATATAAATTTTTTTTTTAATCTTAAATATTGTCTACAATTTAAGTATAGTTAATTATATAATTAATTAATTACCTGCAGCAATGCAATTTTCGCCTTTATTAAAGAAAACACTGCTCATCGCGACTCTAACCGCATGCTGCAAATCAGCGTCCTCAAATATAACGAGTGGACTCTTACCACCTAATTCAAGAGAGACTTTCTTTAAATTACTATCGGCACACGATCTCATTATAACTTGTCCAATTTCCGTGGAACCAGTGAATCCTAATTTTCGCACCATGGGATGATTTGCCAATGCATTGCCAGTGATTGAACCACTTCCGGGAATAATATTAATTACACCCGAGGGAATACCAGCCTTGGCTGCAAGCTCAGCAAATTTCAATGCAGTCAATGGTGACGTTTGTGCTGGTTTCATAACAACAGTATTTCCCGCCGCCAAACAAGCAGCCATTTTCCATGAGAGCATCATTAAAGGATAATTCCATGGCGTTATCAAAGCACAAACACCAATTGGCTCCTTTCGTGTGATTGTTAAATTTCTATTTGGTCGCGCATGTGAAATTGGTATCGTTGATCCTTGAATTTTATCACACCAACCGGCAAAATATCTCCATGTTTCAATTGACATTCCAACATGTGTTTTTAATGCTAAAGTATAAACTGCTCCCGAATCGATGCTCTCGATTGTTGCTAATTCCTCTTTATGCTCATCCATCAAATCAGCGAGTCTGTCGAGAGATTTTGAATTAATTATTATTAATAGATTTTTAAAAAAAATGATAACTCTACCTGAAGAGAAGGACTCCTCGTTCCCTTGCGCTAATTTTACTCCATTCGCCTTCTTCGAAAGCACGTTTAGCCGCAATTACTGCGAGATCAACATCTTCAGGTGCTGCTGACTCAACCGAACAAATAACACTCTCATCGTGAGGATTTATTGTCTCAATTGGCTTTCCTTGACCATTGATAAATTGACCATCAATAAATAGTTGTCTCGGGAATTTTAGATCCTTATTATTAGCTCTTAATTCCACTGGATCGTATTTAATTTCCAATTGTGCTGAATCACCACGTCCCTTTAAAATCATTGTTCTTGCAAATTCACCAAAAATCGGTGCCATAAAAACATCGGTATTTTGAAGAGAAATTCCCACCGAATCCTTGACTTCTTCTACTAATCTCACGACATCCATACTTCCAGCTCCTAAAAAAAAAGTCACCGAAAATAATTTACCACATCATTAGAAAATAAGAATTTTTTTTTATTTACCACAGGCAAAAAAATCAGTGTCATCCGAAATCTCCGTCTTTAGAATACTTTCCCAAATATTTCGTACAGTATCAATTTGACATGTTTCTTCAGCAGTAAATTCAATATTTTGATTATTATCCAATTGTTTGCCAAATTTACTAGCGATAATTGTTCTATTGCCAATTTTCAGTCTTTCCACATTGATATAATTATTTTCATTGATTTTAATAAGAAGACCATCATCGTGAACAATACCAAGGCGACCGTCTACATCAACATTATCACCTTGTGGTATTTTTTTATCCCATATTGTACTCCCATAAAGACGAATTTCTTCTCCATTTATCAAAGTCCATGCTCCAAATGCACTGTCGAGACCTCTTATAAAATTATGTACATCTTCCACTGATTTTTTCGAAAAGTCTAATCTAAAAATTAAATTAATATTCGTTATTTTTAATTAGAATTTTATTTTTCAGATTCAATGATAACAAAAATACCTCTGAAGTTCATGTTTGGTTAAAATTGGATCGTATGTAGCTCCTTCTTCGGTTTGAGCAATCTTGGGAGCTTTTCCAATGGAAACAAGATTTACTGCTTCGGCTACGGCTTTTATTCCTTCAGGATACAAAAAGTTGTTGTATAAACTATCTAAGGTATCATTTGGATTCACTGGACAAGTTTTTTGCAATAAAATAGGTCCAGTGTCAAGACCATCGTCTGCCCAGAAGATTGAAAGACCAGCAACTTTGTCACCATTAATGAGCGTCCTTTTGTGAACACACAGTGAGTTTCAAATAATAATTTATCTTTCTTTATCGAATTAAAATTAATGTTTGACTTTAAAATAAAGGGGGGGGGGGAATCATTATAAAAATATATGTAATAAAAAAGTTACATTAAAATACAAGTGATATAAATATAAAAATCAAAAATAATTAAAAAAAAGTATAAATATATAAATGAACGATAATAATAAACAAATTGATAAGTGGAGCATGAAATGGAACGTGTTGGTCGAGTATATAACTGGTTTTTGAAAAGTTTGTGAGAAACTTGCTTTCGATACTTTGTTGTATGTTAATTTACAAGTTTAGAATCACGAAATTCTGATTAATATTAAGTAATATCGAGATTATTGTGCATAATTCAGTGTCTCTTGTAATTTTGTTAAAAAGTAAATTTTCAATTTTTAAAATAATTCTCTTAGTCTTAGAAAAATAACTTTTTTAAATAATTATTTATTATTATAATAGTAGTAATTGAAAAAATTATATTTCTAATTTTCATCAAAAACACTAATTTTAATTAATAAACAGAAAGTAAATCTTACCAACTGATTGCACTGGCACCACGATGTCTGGGCAAAATAGATGGATGATAACAAATACTACGATGTTGTGGATGATTTATCACCTCCATTGGAATAAATTGAGTACAAAATGGCAATACATTTAAATCGACATCAATTTCTTTATAAAGATTGAGTATTTCTGGTAGAGTCTTTCCTTTACTTCTCCAGGCTTTAATTTTGAAAACCGGTACATCGTCTTCTTTTGCTGTAATGGCTGTAAACACACATCCAAATTTTTTTCTACGATTACAATTAATTTAATTAAATAAATATTTAGTAAAATTTTAAATTTAAAATTAAATATTTAATAAAATTTTAAATTAAATATTTAATAAAATTTTAAATTAAATTGTGTCATTAAAAATTACCAAGTGGATCTTCTCGATTTCCCTTATCGGGAATTGTGAAGACACCAGTAATGAGATGTCCATCTTGTTTTAATGATTTATACACTTCTGCTGCAAAATTACTTTGTCCGATTATGGCTACTTTTAATTTTGCCATCACTGCCTATAGTTTGAAAAAAAAGATTCTTTTATAACAGTTTTAAAATATTTATTTACAATTGCTTATAAATAATATTTTTTCTAATTCTTGTTATCAAATGCATCTTGTATAACACATTTAACAATTTGAATGCACATCTTGATATTATTAAGTGGTTAACTGCAGTTTCAATTTGTCTATTCAAAAGATGAAACTATTAAATTGATTTTAGTTTAATTTTTTATTTCTTGTTATTTAAAAAAAGGATAATTTTTTATAAATCCTAAAACCAATTAAATACCACTAACTTCAAAATTAAATTATTTAATAATAAATAAAATTATAATTGTAATTTAAATAACAAATTTTTAGGAAAATTACTTTAAAATCAATCTTTCAATTATTGCAAAATATTTAATATTCTATTTGTTATGATTCATAGCAGGTCAAAGACTTGTGTTTATTACTTGAGAATGTTAACTTCTAAGTGCAAAATACATACCTAATATTAAAAATAGAGAACTATCGCACACCTTTGTAGATCCTTAAAAAAGCTGTAACCAATTATGTTGTAAATACAGGAATTTTCCCGCATACCATTTTTCATGCTTTTTTTTTAGTTAATAGCAAGCAATTAATATTAAAAACAAAATTAAATTTTTTCATCAAATAATAAATTCATGAATTTGAAGAAAATTTAGTGTCAATTGAATCAAATTAAAAATCAAGAAATAATTAATTATTATTATTATATAAAAATAATAATTAAAAATAAATTAACTTAATGTATTCGTAAAAAAAACAATTATATAATTTTTTTTTTAAATTTGTGAAAAAAACTTACGGAACTGGAAAAAAAGGAACGTTGATAAAAAATAACTCTATTAATTGACAACATTTGAATTGGAAATAATTATCGAACAGTTCTAATATCTTGAATGAAAAAATTTTTTAAATTTAAATAATAATTGTGAGTAAATTATATCACTTTCTTTCACTTTCTTGTATGCGACTCTCACTATTTATAAATTATAGTACTATAGTTGGAGAGAAACACTTGTTTGATGTTTCTTATAGATTAATCACAAACTATCTACAACCAACGAGTTTACTGAACTGAAAGAAAATTGTAGCTTGGTTTATATACTCTATTCTTTCTCTTTCTCTTTTTTCTTTTGCCTCTTTCTCTTCTGTTGATTTTCTTCACTTAATCTTTCATTATTTGACATTGTCATTGTTAAATTCAGAAATACAAATCATCATTGGTAGTAAAAAAAAAAAAGAAGCCACGCGTGCATTTCAAAAAAAAAATTAAATAATCTCTATACGGGTCATGATCTTCGATTAATAGTAATTAGAAATCTGGTTTTAATTAGTTTCGTCTTTGAATTGATTAAAGAAATTTACTGAATTAAAAATAATTCTTTAAACGATTGTTTACTATTTTTAGAATTTAGGATATTATTAGTAAGTTATAATTTTTTTTTGTCATTTTTATTTCTTTCTGATTAGAAAAAAAATTATTTTGTACTAATTTATTAATTGTTAAAAGTAATCTTCTGAAAATTTTAATGTTTACTTTTTTATTACAGAAAATATATATGTCTAAAAGAAAGGTGATCTAGGATTGCTTTTATTGGCACGCAAATATAGAATGCAGACCGGTTTTATATTAGACATGTATGAATGGAAGTTGATATTTGACAAATATTATAATATATCGAAATATTAAGACTCAAATTAACATTGTTGATATATAAACAAAACATGTAATGAGATTATAATGAAAAAAATTAATTTTTTTCACATCAAATTTGCATTATATTAAATTAAAATATTCAATATTTTTTGAAATATTTGTTGCCTAAAATTTATTAAAAACTATTTTTTGTTTAAAAAAAAAATTATTATTTTTTTTATTTTAAGTTCTAAATATAATTTTTCTATTTACTTTAATTTGTATTAAATTTTTTATTTGTTTTTTTATTTATTTATTTTTTTTTTTTTTGATAATCACATTTGTGAACATTTGCTTAAACATTGATGTCGAGTAACCGGTTAAATCTAGATTGGAAAAAGAATCACCCGTAATCGATCAGGTCATAAGCCACAAGATAATATGTTTACACAGTTGAACTGAAACTGGTAGCAGTCAGTTTTGATTCATAAGAAGTTTTGATAACATACGCTAAAGAAAAAAAGTTATAGCAATGAAAATGCATTTAATTATCATTCTATAACTATGTTTCGGAATGTTTTCAATTTCTTTTCTCACATCATTTTCTTAGATAATATTTATTAGAATTTGCAATATTTTTTTCTTTGGAAAATACTGAGAAAATATATTTTTATAAACTAGGGCTCAAATCAACAAAAGTTTTTTTGTTTTTAAAAAACTAGAATCATTTTATTTATTAAATTTGTAATTTTTTTTTTTATAATTTCAGATACTTTTGAAGTAATTGGCTTTAATTAATTTTCGAAATTGGAGTATAAAATGCGATTTAAAGACACGTCCTGGTATTTTTTGGCAATTTTGTATTGTCAATTTTTTTCCACTTCATCGCAGGTACTTTATTTTTGTAACAATAAAATAATTATTTAATAAATTATTGTATATTATTTCAGAGCTCTTCAGAATCTTTGTATTATGTCGGAGCTGTAGTTGAATATCATCCAATACATGGACTTTCTGAAACTGCTGCTTTTTCCAATATTGAAAATTATATTACCATTTTGAAAAAGGCCAAGGAATTAAATTCTGTAAGTTTTCATTTTTCAGAAAGACTTTAATTAATTTCTATTATTATTTTTCAGTACATTAAAAAAAAATTCAATTTAAATTAAATCTTCTTTTATTGTAAATATATTTTTGTTTTTAGAATTTAGATATTATTGTATATCCCGAGACAGGTATTTTAATAGAATCTGAAGATGAAATATTTTTATCCATCGAAGAAAAGCGAAATCGTTATTTATCACTTGCTCCCATTGTTCCTGATATTTCAAAAAAAATAATACCATGTGAAATGGAAAATTCAAATATTTCGATGGTAAGGTATATTTATTTTTTCTTATTTAAATAATCTGAAAGAATTATAAAAATATTTAAAATTAAGAAAAGGTAAAGAAAAAACATTTTTTTAGGCTTTAAAAAAATTGTCATGTGCAGCAAAGCAGTATAACGCCTATCTAGTGGTTAATTATATAGAGAAAGAAGATTGCAATAATTGTGGTGGTGACAATAAAAATCTCTACAATTCAAACATAATTTTCGATCGAAATGGAACAATAATAAGTCGCTATCGAAAATACAATCTCTTTCAGGAATTTAGTTTTAATATAACTCACGAACCGGATATTTCAATATTTGAAACAGATTTTGGAGTTAAATTTGGACATTTTATTTGTTTTGATATTTTATTTGAAACACCAGCTTTAGAATTATTGAGAAAACATAAAATTACAGATATTGTCTATCCAACACATTGGTTTGGAGAATTACCATTTTTAGATGCACTATCAGTTCAAGCGGCATGGTCATATGCAAATGATGTTAATTTATTGGCATCTGGTTTCAATAATCCAACTACTGGTTCCACAGGAAGTGGTATTTTTACGGGAAAATATTCCAAAATTCCCGGATTAATTCATGCCGATAGAAAGAAAAATGCTTTATTAATTACAAATATACCAAAAGTAATTCAAGGACAAAGAAATGTTACAAATTTTGAAAAAATTTTATATCAATTTACAAACAATGAGATGCCAACAATTGACAATGATACGAGTCACAGTGGTTTTTTAACTGATTTTCTTTCATCATTCACCACTATTTCTATTCGACCGGAAACTGATAAATTTGTTACTCTTTGTAAAAATAATTTTTGTTGTCATTTAAATTACAAGGCAGAACACAATGAGACAATTGGTGAAGAGGAAGAATATTACAGGTGTGTCTCTATATTTAAAGTATTTATATAAAAAAAAAAAAAAAGAAATTCTTTTATAAGAAATACATTAAAAACAAATTTCAGATATCGCTTTGGTATTTTTGCTGGAGTACGATCATACGGTGTTGTAAATGCAGGTGTTGAAGTTTGTGGTTTAATGATTTGTGGAAATGATTCTTTAAGCAGTTGCGGTAAACAACTAGATAGAAATAATATTAAATTTCGAACAAATTTTCTAAAAATTCAAATAACTACAACCGTGGCAAAAAGAGAAAATAGTTTAATTAATATGCCAATTTCTCTTCAAAACGATTTTACACCACTCGATCCTGAGAATTTTTCTCTCGAATCAATTGATTTGGAAAATTTTAAAATACTCTCTCTAAATTTCAAGGGAACAGAGAAGAATTTAATGTCCTTTGGTATCTACAGTAGAAATTTTTCAGCTGATGGAAATGCATTAACAATTCACGAATCATCTTCGTCAAAGTTTTTTTTTTAAATCTAAAAAATTTCTAATTAAAATGTAAGAACAAATTTACAATTTAATGATTTTTATCTCTTTTTTTTATTGATTACATGCGAAATTTTATAATTTTACAAGATAATTTTTTTTTTTAAATAAACTATTTTTTCCTACTTAAAAAATCGTGTATTTATTTATAATTCAATTAATTTATTGTATAAACGATACTAAAATCTTAGTATCTTGGAACTTTGAACTCTGGCGCAGAGTCCGCACTACCTGATGGTTTTCGTTTATTCATAATATTTTGAATTTTCTGCCATTCGCGATCCAATTCGGCTTTTTCATTTTTCTCCTTATTGAATTTTCTTGTTCTTCTTCCGTCAGCCATTTTCACACCATATTGAAAAGCAGCTTTTGGCAATGCCTCTTTATTATTCATATACTCGCTGTATTCTTCCGGTGTATCAAAATCCCATCTACCAATTGGTCCTTTTTTATTACCAAGATCCATTTTTGTATAATCAACCTCATCGTCTGAGTCATCAATTGCGTCTTGCATTTCATCAAGACCAGGATAACATTCCGCGTATCCCTCTGGTTCTGTGGCAAATTTACTGAGAATTGAACCTGCTTTTGATAATTCTGCCTGTTGTCCCGATGTACCAACAATATTTTGTGCAAGAGCTATTGGTAATCTTGGTACATTGTGTTTATCACTTTCCATTTCAGAATCATGTGGTTTATCAAAATATGTTGTTGTCTTCTTTTTTGATTTATGATGATGTGAGGAATTACTTTTCTCCGTTGATGGTACATAATCGCCAATATCACCATAAATACTATCATCTTGCGGTGGTTTTGGTGCAATATCCATTTCATTCATATCGTCAAGTCGACCTTTTTTCTTTCCTTTTTTACCATGTCGGCTACCTTGACGTAAATAGGACAAAATTTGCGCTAATTTATTAATAACAATATCATTTGTTGTTAAAGTTGGTGTTGTATCAACAGTTGGAACATCAGCTTTACTTCTTATTAATGTTGTTGGAATGTCAACTTCCACATTTTCATCGTCCAATTCAATTACATAGGCCATACGACCGGGAATAAAAAGTTCATTACGTTCAATTTGCTTCGATCTCATTGTCATTATTGTTTTGTAAATATTACGACCAACTTTTGTTTTAAATTGCATCTCGTCCTCTTTTTTCTTCACTTCCTTTGGTTGTTGTTGTTGCTGCTGTTGTTGTTGTTGTTGTTGCTGCTGCTGCTCCTCCTTTGCCGCTTCCTTCGGTTTTACTAGTCTCTCCATTTCTTGCTCCTGTTCCAGTTCTTTATTTTTTATCTCACTTCGCACCTGTATAAAAACAAAATATTAGTAATGAAAAAAAAATTCTTTGATGTTTAAAATACCTTTTGTAAAAGGGCAAAATCCAATCCTTTCACCAAATGAGTATGCTCCATGTCACCACCCAAAAATTTGGAATTTTGAATCATTTCCCTTCGACGTTCGGCAGCATCCATTCCCGATTGTATATCGGGTGCAACGGCACGATAAGCACTTGTTGTATTCATTGGATCTTCTGGTTGATAATCTTGACTAACACCCGAGCGACGTTCCTTTGCTCTGTCGCGATATTTTTCCGCTAATTCAGCCATTTTATCCTCCTCTTGTTTTTTTAGTTTGGCATAAAAACTTTTTTTCTTTCGACGTAATTCACCGCGATTATTACCGCTGATATTTGGTGTTTGTGCTGTTTTTGCACTTGCATCGCGAAGTGTTCCAGGTACAGTTGCTGGCGTTGACGATGGAGCCGATGCTCTAGGTGTCATTAATAATTTTCGAAAATCATCATTCGTCATGCGAACCGAAGCACTAATATCCTCTTCGTCTGGCATTTTGGAGTTTTTATCTTTTGGAAAAAAAAACAATTCTGTTTAAATTAAGGTAACTTATTGAACACTATTAAAGCAAATTTTAAATTTAATAATAAGGAAATTAAAGAAAATAATAATAGAGAAATTAACAAAACAAATATTTAATGAGAATATGATTTAAAAGAAATAAAAAATTGACAGTAAAAATTTAGGTTATGTTTATAAAAAATATAATCAAACGCACTTACCTGTTTTGAGTCTTAAATATAGATTTTTTTCGATTTAATTAATCCTCCTTTTATTGATATTGATTTCTAATTATCAAATTTTGCCATAATAGTGCAGAAAAGCTGAATATTTTTTAATAAATAACAACAGAAGTAAACTTGACGTCACTTGACGATTGACGTTCTGCTGGATTTTAGTTGACACGAGCGTCACAAGAGGGACAAGTTTTTCAAATTTGAATTGTTTACACTTTTACATAACAAAAAGTATTTTTTAAATTATTTATACTGCATAAAGAGCATAACAAATAGTTTTAACTATATTAAAATATATTTAATATAATGTAATTATATCCAGCAATAGCAACAAAAAAGGTAAAATTTAATTTTTATAAAATTACATTTAATTTACAAATAATGTTTATTTTCATAAGTAAGCTACAAAATTGTAATTTTATATAACTTTATTTTTCTTCTTTCATTAATTTACAAAATATATATTCACAATTTTTTTTTTTTTTTTTTTTACAATATTATGACACTGTATTTTGTCATTCAACGCAATTATTTTTTGAAAATATTCGAAATAAAAAAATATTTGCTATAAAATCATATCAAATTTTAAATATTTAAAGAAATTTGTCGTATTTAACGTAATTGTGCTTTTAAATATAATCATATAAATTATAAAAAATTGTAAAGTATTTTTTTTTAACTATGATTAAATTTTGAAAGCGTGATCAATTTTTTTTTTTTTTGTTAATATATAATTTGAAAATAATTCGTATTTTCTAATTATAATTATAAATAACTTCGAATAATCAAAAAAGATTAATACAAATTTCGAAGAATTCTACATTATAAATTTCTACAATACATCAAGTAGAATTATGTACATTCCTTAAATGTAACTTAAAAATTTGTCTTCTAAAAATAATATAAATCGACGTTTTTTAAAAAAAATATATATGTAAAAAATTGCTTTATAACGAATATAACAGCTGCTCTTTTAATTTTAAATAATTTAAAATGCAAATAACGAAATTATTAAATTTCAAATGATTACAAATCTTTGTTTCCTTAATAATTTAATCAAGTTATTGTCAATGAAATAATTTTTAAAAAAAGCATAATTATTTATCAAATATTTTTCAAAGACAATGACATAATTATTTAATCTATTTAGATAATCTTAGCATGATGAAAAGAAATGGTAACAAAGCATTTTAAAAAAAGGAAATAAATCTCTTCATCATAATTACCAAATTTTCCATTGAAATAATTTCAATGTGTCCTCATTGCTTTTAAAACAATATTTTTCAATATTTGCGTTTTCGGTTCATCGAGAAGTGGTAAAATATTGTGTCCATCGTTATTTCTTATATTTGGTTTTGCACCTGATGATAATAGTTGACGTGCTGTTTCAATATGTCCATTTTCGATAGCATGAAACAGAGCCGTTCTTCCTGATCGTAGATCTTGTAAATTTATATTTGCCCCAGCTGCAATTAAGGCATTCACCGCTGATAAATTGCCTCGCAATGCACAATTATGAATGGCTGCAAATCCTAAGGGAGAATTTTAATATTAGTCAAAATTATAATTAATTTTTTTTTTCAATTTTATAAAATAACAGGAGGAATGAAATAAAATACCTTCAACATCCATACAATTCAAAGATGCCTTGCTGGTATATTTTGTGAGTAGAGGTAAAAGTGGAGATGAATTTTTACTAGCAATTATTAAAGCTGAATCGTATCCCACTTCATCTGATGTTGGATTCGCTCCAGCTTCCAATAATTCTCTAACAATTTCTGGATCAGCATCCATTTTTAATGCCAATTCTAAGCTCGTCTGAAAATTAAAAAAAAAAAGAGTTAAAATATAAAATTGCAAATAAATTTTCTGTTTAATCACTAATTTTATAATAAAACTCACCCTATTTTCATGTGTTTTTATGTCAACATCATTTTTCGTCACCCGTAAAATCATTAATAATCTTTTGATAGATTTAATATCATCTCGCATAACAGCCTTGTGTAATCCCGTTAATCCACTTTCATCATGTGTTTGCAATAATTTAATATCTTCGACAATTTGTTTTGATACACGATTTATTTTCTCTGTACTTTGTATTGGTCTATCGAGAATATTTTTCATATTTTCTACTTCCTGTTTCTCTTCTGAATTAATATTCAAATCCATAATTATTTTATCCAATTCTATTGCAAAATTACTTTTCTCCTCCTTTTCTTTCATTGGTGTGACAATATAATTTAATGATTTAAATGCAATTGAACGATCTTTTATTGTTTTATTAATTTTCTTGATATTCTTCTCAGATTCTTGAACTTCAATAAATTCCTCACAATATGGATCTAAATTTCCAAATATATTTGTTTGACACGATGTTTCGCGTATTGAAATTTCATTTGATGGTGAACGAATTGGAATTTGTCGTTCGACACCTAATTTACATGTTGCTAAAACTTTTAAAGCCTCTTCACGAAGATTTTTATCTTTTACATGAGCAAGTGCTCTTTCAACGATACTCATATCGACGTTTGATTCATTATCAATTTTTTTGCTCTTCTGATTTAAATTACTTTTTTTAGAATTATTATTTTTCTTTGGTTTATTATTTTTAGCTATTTGTTTATTGAAATCGTCATCATCATCATCATCATCATCTTCTTCTTCATCATTATTGCTATCTGTTGGATCAGTAGGATCATCGTCACTTATTGCAAGATTACCAAAATCCGAACCACTCTCCGATGATGGTAGATTTGTAATAATTTTTTTTGATGGAACTTTTGGTAACATTACCATTACATTTTTTTTCGTTAGAGTGTATTTTAATTTTTTCCATTCACGTACTGGTGATTCTGTAGGCACTTTGTCATTTTTTAAATCCTCATTATTTTCTTTTCTCTTCGAAAATATTTCATCGTTACTTTTTGAATTATCTAATTTTTTTTCTTCACTATTTTTTATCATTACTGACAATTCATCATTACAATGCTCATCCATATCGCCATTATCATAACCTGATAATCCACCAGCACTAATGAAATTTGTTTCAGAAATATTTGCCTCTTCATTTGTATTTAAATTTAATGATAATGATTTTAATTTCACTGGTTTTAATGCAATTGGTTTTCCTGATTTTGTTATATTTTTCAAATAAGGATGATCCTCTGGTTTGAGATATACTAAATTTTTTTCTAAATTATTATTTTTTTTACTATCAGAATTTGTTAAAATTACTTTATTTGTGTCCATTTTAATCCAGGGATTATTTATTTTCGATGTACTAACTGTTGGTGGTTCAAATGGTGTATTTGAAAACATTTTGTGAATCATTTGTTTGCCTTGAATTATTTTTGAGAGATCTTCAGCTGGTAGTTTATTTAATGAGACATTACTTATTATTTTCACTTTATTTAATAAATCTTGTCCTACTTTTTCAATGCGTGGTTCTTGATAAATTGATCCTGGATATTGTACATCTTTCATTGAATACGAAACAACGGGTTCAGTTTGAGTGTCATTTTGTGTTATTGCAGGTATAACACTTTTTGGAATAGTAATGAGTTTTCGTTTCAGCGTTTGATTAGGAGCGTCTAGGAGTTTTACTTTAATTTCACCTAGATCTTTACCATCGGGACTTTTTAATTTTAATGTTTTTAATGTACTTTTTCCATTGACATTATTATTCCCTAAGGAATTTATTGTTATTGGTTTATTTATTGTTTTTAATATCGAATTTGATGTTTTATTTATATTTAACTTTTCGCTATCGTTAATTTGTGATTGTGTTTCCATATTTTTTGCAACACTATTCGAAGATAATGTATGTTCTGTGGGAACTGGTTTATGACCCAAAGCTAAACTTGGAAAGTGTTTGGGAAGTTTAAATTGTCGAACACATTCTGAGACATGCATTGGCGGTTGTTTGTTTATGCGTCGTACTTTTGGAGCCGGTGGTTCTGTGGACTCCATTTCTTAAAAAAAAAAATAAACAAAATTATTTTTGTATTGTTAAAAAATTTCATTTAATTTCAAATAACTTACTTTTCTTGAAGACTATTCTAGTCTTCTTTTCTTTTAGAAGAACAAAAAAATACAAAGAGATAACCTTAAAAATCACGTTACATAAACAAAGTGTTCTTCTCAGTCGGAGTTGATCATTTTTATCAGTCTTTTTATTGATAATGAATTTATTGTCATTTGGTTATATTTTAGCATAAATGACAATGTTATTTAATGTTTTATAATTAATTAATTCACTTGGTTAAATGCATATGTAACTCGGGACATCCCTTGGTTTAAAACCTGTATTATTTTTTAAAGTAAACCATGAACAATAAACAAGAATTGCAACTTTTAATCAAATTGGGATTCCCGATAATTATTCTCATGAAATTATGGCAGTTTACAATTGTTTAGGGTTGACTGGACAAGTTTAGAAAATGGTCCATTTGTGCTTATTGAAAATTATGTCTCTCGCTAATTAATTAATTATTATTTGAGTAATTATAATTGAAAATTTATTTAATCACAATATTTAATTAGAAAAAATTGTATTAATTTTAATATTTTTAAATAGTATAATTTCCGCGGTGTCAAATTTTGTGTTTCCTGTAGAGTGGCGGAAGTGACGAGTTTAACTAACCTATAATACATGTGTCAAAATTGGTAAACAAAAACATATTGACAGATTTGACAGTTGGTTAATTGTTAAGAAATTAAAGAAATGTAAAAAGTAGTTTGTCAAATTGGATTATTGTTGTATTTAATAGTCAACTAAAAAGAGGAATATAAATGTTTATAGTTGACAAATTTTTATAAACTATTGAATTATAGTTGTCAAAGTTTAAAGTAAGTGGACTTTGAATGCAAAAATATTCTCTTTAATCATAACAATTAAATTAATTTAATTACAGGAATTAAATAAAATACTACAATGGCCTTTCTTCGAGGCTCTGCTAATTATGTATGGTGTACAACCAGTGTACTTGGAAAAGGTGCCACAGGTGCTGTTTTTCAAGGGGTAAATAAAAATAATGGCGAACCAGTTGCTGTAAAAACATTTAATCAACTTAGTCATATGCGACCTCATGATGTTCAAATGCGAGAATTTGAAGTATTAAAGAAAGTTAAACACGAAAATATTGTTAAATTATTAGCAATTGAAGAGGAACAAGATGGCCGTGGGAAAGTAATTGTTATGGAACTTTGTACTGGTGGAAGTTTATTTAATATTTTAGATGATCCAGAAAATACATATGGTTTATCAGAAAGTGAATTTCTTCTTGTATTAGAACATTTATCAGCGGGAATGAAACATTTGAGAGATAATAATTTAGTACATCGTGATTTGAAACCTGGTAATATTATGAAATTTATTGCCGATGATGGCAGTACTGTTTATAAACTTACTGATTTTGGTGCAGCACGTGAATTACAGGAAGATCAACAATTTGTATCACTTTATGGTACTGAAGAATATTTACATCCTGATATGTATGAGCGTGCTGTTTTAAGAAAACCCGTGGGAAAAACATTTGGAGCAACTGTTGATCTTTGGTCAATTGGAGTTACTTTATATCATGTGGCAACGGGAAATTTACCATTTCGTCCATTTGGCGGTCGAAGAAATAAAGAAACAATGTTTTATATTACAACTAAAAAAGCATCGGGTGTAATATCAGGTACACAAACATCAGAAAATGGACCAATTGAATGGAATAGAGAATTACCACAAAATTGTCAATTAAGTACTGGTCTTAAAAAAATTACAACACCATTATTGGCTGGTTTATTGGAAGTTGATCCACAGAGAATATGGTCTTTTGAACGTTTTTTTGCTGAAGTTATGGATGTATTGAGTAGAAAACAAATTTATATATTTAATGTTCCACGTGCTGATATTATTAAAATTTTCTTACATCCTGAGGAAAAAATGAATGAATTTCAAAATCATATACAAGATCAAACTGATATTTCTCTTCATGCACAAATATTGTTAGTCAATGAAAATCCATTGTCATTTCTTGTTGATGAATCAACACCTGGCAAAGGTTATCCATTAACAACATTAGATAATCCTTTAATATTATTTTCACGTGATAATAATAATGTGATTATTCCAAAAGATTCTGAATTACCAAAATTTCCAACATTTTCAAATCTTGTCTCAGTTGAAAATGATGCTAGTCAAGCAAAATTATCGTGTTCCGTTGGTCATGTTTGTAAAAGAAGAATTGATAATTTAGTGAGATGCAGTAAATTATCACAGGATGCAGTTTCTGCATTTATGAAACTTTTATCAACAGATTTGACAAAACTTTTAAATAAATGTCATCGTTTAAAGGATTTAACTAAAGCAATAGAAGACACTGTCACGGCAACAGAGAGAACTGAACATATTGCTAGGCAAATTTTTCGTAAATTTAGAAATCAAATTAATTTTGAATTTAAAAATTGGAAGAAGGATCTTGATTTGAAAAGTAAAGAACTTTTGGTAGATCTAGCTCCAGCGGTGACACAATTGCATCAAAGGTAAAATTTTTAACTTTTATTCTGTTACAGATTCCAATTAATTCGAAAAACAATTTTTTTTACAGATACGTGAAAGAAAATATTTTACAAGCAGAATGGGATAATATTACTCGTTGTTTAAAATGTCCATGGTCATCAAAAGCAAATCAAAGAGCAACAACATTGGTAGATCGTTTAAGAGATGGCTGGCAACATTTATTACGTGATAGAGCAACTCGAAGTCTTTCATATAATGATGAACAATTTCATGTCTTGGAGCGAATTAAGGTTTGTGTTTATTCATTATTATTTTTTTGCTTTTCACTTCTTTGTATATTCAAAAAAATATTTTTCAACAGGTAACAGAAACTGGACGTAGGCTTAAAATTCTTCTTGATTTAGAATGTATACCAGCGATTACTCAACGATCTGAATCATTGGCAGATTGGTATAAAATGGCACAAACGGTATATTTGCAATCTCAAATTTTAGACAAAGATGTTGGCAATTATGAAACAACTTTAGAATCATTTTCATATCGACTTTTTCATGAAAGTAAAGAACATTATGATAATATTTTACATGAAATAGATAAATTACCAGGCAAATTATCAACATTGGAGAGACCAAATGTTTTAGATAATGGAAATGTTAAAAAATGGCGAAATATTTGTGATATACAGGAACAAATTTGTTTTATTCTTCAGGAAAATAATCAATTAGTTGATGAATTGGATAGTTTATCAATTGTAGATGTATTTGACAATGAGAAAGAAAATTCTGAATTTCATTGATAGTAAAGAAATTTTTTTAAATATTTAAAAACATAATTTTTTATGTTTATAAATATATCAAGAATGTATTAATAATAATTTTACTGGATGCATTTTGCAGTAAAAAAAATCACAATTGCCTAAAAATATAATTGATATTTATTTTAAAAAATTTTAATTACAAATTTCTATATACCTAATAAACAAACTGAATTTAAATTATATTTTTGTTATAACAGTGTTAAAATATATAAACTTTAATAAGGTTTGAACCTATTTTGTTTTCCATTATTTCTGGCTTTAAGATGTAATTTATTTAATGTACCATTGTGAGAATCATTTGAATCCATTGATTTCCATACATTTACAATACCAGCTTCTCCTCCAGTTACTAAGCAACCACTCTGGAAAAATTCAAAGTTCATTAATTTTTATTGTTTCTTAAAGAAATTTATTATCTTAAAAACTTGATCATAAATACCTTCTTATGGAACCAGCTGTCACGAACAATTTGCTTGTTTCCAACTAAATTGTAGCAAATGTTGAAATCGTCATCGGAGACACTCAAACATTTTAAGTTTTCTCTATACAAATAAACAAAAATTAATTACGAAAATGGTAATTAAATTTGATATTAAAAATTATCTAAACAAATTTTTACCCTTTGCCGCTATTTGATCCTAAAACCAGCAGAGGTTCTTCATATGCGTTTGAAGTATGAATTCGTATCGGACAACAATTGTCTACAGTTCCATTCTTAAAATAAAAAACATAAATTTCCTATTAATAAATAAACGAACAAAAAAAAAACTCATGATTTTAATCATTAATATACCTTTCAGAAATTGGTATTTGTTCAGATAATTGGATCAAAGTATAAATATCTAGAATATAATTTAATAAATAAATTAATTACCTGTAAGGCGGCAAGTTGACTTCTATCAAAATTGGTATACGGAGTTGCTCCTTCGCTATTCCAAAATTGTAATGAGAAGGTATGTGTTGTACACCATAGACTTTTGGTATTAAGCCAACCTAATTTATCCTATTTTAAAAAATTCTCGTTACTTTTATAATGGAATAATTTGTAAATTATAAATTTGAAAAATATAATTTTTCTATAAAACGAGAGACTGTTTTTTTTTTTTTTTAACTTACCACTGATGATTCCGTATTTAACGAGTGGATTAATGCAGAGTCTTCACAAGATTGCGTTAAATCAAAAATATTAATCAAGCCATCTGTACTACCCGATGCCAATACGTCTCGTTTGTTACAATTGAAAGACAAACTGGTTATATCATCAGTATGTGATTCCCAATAACCGCCTAGAAGATTGTTTTTACATTGTGTTTTAGATTTACTGTATCTTATGTCCCAAAAAAGAATAAATGCGTCTCCATTTATTAGTTCAGTACCACCTGCTAAAAGTCTTTCATCACAACTTATATCAAAACTTGCTAGAGGTTTTGGCTTTGATCCTTTTACGTCATCTGTTAAAAAATAAAATATTTCATTGCTTTTCAATTTTGTTTGAAATAATTTAAAAAAAATCAAAATCAATTACCTTTAATTTCAAGTACCAATTTCTCCTTTAATCTTAAATCAAACATTCGAACATATCCGTCTGCGGTAGCAGTGTAAATTATATTTCGAGAAGTAGGACTAAATTTTATGCCCACAATTGATGCATTATTATGTGTTAAAGTTACATATCTGTTCAAATTGTCATCAGTTAATGAATATATAACACATGAATGATTTGAAAGGGCAGTTCCTATGCAAATATCTGAATCGCTGTAAAAAAAAAAAAATTAAATACAATATTAAAAAAACATCTATTAAATAGAATATATTTTGCAATATTTACCTTTGAGTACCACAAACAGCAAGAACATAAGTATCATCAGAAACTAAATCTTCTTTCATAAGTGTTATTTCACGTTCAGATATTGATGATCCTTTTAACATATTTATCCTACCTCCATTTTCTGTATTTAAAGTTTTTAACGATGTTGTTTTTGACATATTAAATGAAATAATTTATAAAATTATCAGTGCTGTCAATTACTTTATAAGTTTATATCTATAAAAATCAAAATATCAATGTAATTTTCACATTATTTAAGAATAAATTAGAATCTTTAGAATATTTAAAATTATGGTATTTATAGCCTAGAAGACGAAAAAATTTCTAGAATTTTGCAAGAAATTTGTACATAAACGTGTTCCATATTTAAATTATATTTTTAGGTTATAAGTACCAGTGCAATAATGCATTATTACACACCGGTAAATGTGAACTTACCACTTTCAAAATTGAAAATTTATTATAACTTAGAGAAAAATTTTAAATACAATTTATTAATAAATATAATTTTCTTTCTTCTTATTTTCACTTTAAAATAATGTGGAGAATTTGGAACTAAAATACATTAAAGAAAAACTACAATGTTCACTTTTATAACAATTAGTATTGTAATTTGTAAATACATGTGCTCAAAATTGTCGTCTGCTACAACGAGGTTATAAATGTACTTCTACAATCACTGCAAGTGTCAGGGTGCAATTCCATAAAAGCCTAAAGGTGCATTCTCACTTTTTTCAGGACAAAATTTTTAAATTTTAATAAATTAATTAATTAAAGTAATTTTACTTGTATAAATACCTCATTAAGGAATTTATTTTTTATTATAATGACGACAATAATTTTTTAAATTCTTTTGTTTCCTCAATCATTCGCATTTGAATTTGAATACTACCAAAGTACATATTTTAATTTATTATTAATAAGAGTAAATTCTTTGAGAAAAATTATTTTTACAATAAATATATAAAAGATAAAGAAGAAGCCTATTTCAGAAAATTAATTACAATTTTAGAAAATTATTTTTAAATTTCGTGGGTATATGCGACGCATGCGTAGTAGGTTTAATGCAGGAAATTAACGCCAGATGGCAGAGATGTGCCGTAAAAACCAAAACAGTGGAGCACGAGCCAATATGGCGATAATGGCGACGCGGTGTGAGTCGCGAATTTGGGGCGGCATTTAAAAAAGCATGTTGTCAAGTACGCGCAAGTGTTTCTGTGATCCATGTTGAGTTTAGTGTAAATGTATAATGTCAGAACCAAAACGGGTTCCTTTGCAAACCCTGGAGTTTCCGGATTCCCTGGGCCACGCCGCCAAGAAGGATAAGGACAAGAAGCTCCTTCCCTCCCACCGCTTTACGTTGACCCTGCCGGAACCTAATGAAGAGAGATGTCCGGAGTTCAACTATATTCAACTTCAAAAAACTGCCGAGGTTTGTAATATTATCCCAATGCTAGAAAAAAAATGATCCCTTCGCTTTTGAGCATGAAAATTTTTCAATTCCCAACTTAGAGTCTCCTCTATCTCTAGTATGGGTAGATGATTATTATTTTTTTTTTTGTTTAAAGAATCAGGAACCAGCCCTGTTGACTAGTTTCGTAATTTTCCGATGGCAAGATTGTACAAGGCGTCGGCTACTTCCTCGTGTATTTTTTTTTTTGACGACTATCATCAGCCACGTGAATCCCATGGGTTGCATGACTGTCATATCAATATTTTTTTACATCGAGAGAATAAACTCGTATTTCTATTACGTTCCAATTGTAATTTTTTTCAAGTTGACCACAATGTGTGAAAATAAGTCTGATCGATTTGCAACCTTTCTAATCTCATTCGTCTGCCATACGGAGCAGACCATACGCACTGTCACGTTGCGGTAGGCTCGGTGATTGTAGACCTAGATAACCTGCCAAGCATTCTTACTTAATCAATTTATATTACGAAAATTAATTTCATCTTATTTTATTTTCTTGTGTCAAAAAAAAAATTTTCATTTCTAACAAGTGAGACTTTATTTTCAATAGAGTAACCTGCAAAAAAAAATTTGTTTGATTCGCGATGTATTGCGACACATGTTTTGTATTACTCGAAAATATTATTTTACATTCTTTTATAAATCTCACTCGTAGCTAACATCTTATCGTCGTTGCCATTATGCCTTTCTTTTTAATTTGAAGGACAAAGATCCGTGTATAGAAACGCGAGCAGCGACACGATCGCGCACGTTTCAATCATAAAACATGTGTTTAAGTATTTATCCAAATTTTCCAGCTTTTCAAAATTCATTAATAAAATAATTAAATAGTTTTTATTGAAAATTTAAAATAAAAATTTATTTTTTAAAAAAAGAATAAATCTGCTAGTTATTTTTTTTTTATTTATTATATTCTCGCGGATTTTTATATTAGTTTACAAGAATAGTTATTTTATATTGCATTTTTTTTTTGCATTTCTTTATTAGGAATTGGCATCAAATTCAGAAGGAGGAGGGGGATATGTTACTCATCCAAACAAAGTAACTGACGAGAACAGGTTTAAATCCATTTCTACGTTGAATTTTCTTGAACGCATCTTTATACTGATGGATATTGATCCCGACTGTCGCCGACAGCTTCCTTTTTTTTCTTCCGTTCTTATTCGTTTTTTTTTTTTTTTTTATATATATGGTCGGTTATTGTGTAGTCATCTACCATTTCATATATATTATTTGAGGTCACGTGTTATTTCGTTACCATATGCTTAATCAGAGATTTTGATTCATAATCAATATTAATATTATATGAATTAATGCGGGAAAAAATATATTTATATTGAAAAAAGAAAATATTAGTTGCTATCTTTATATTTTTAGTTTATTTTTATACATCAGGCGTTATCTTTCTAAGGACCTAGTAACAGGAGATCAGGAGAGAACAGAATCAGAGCTTCTCTAGGAAGAAGTTAATTCAAAGTGGGAGAGGGAGGGGGGGGAACAAAACAGCTTTTCTCGATTGGTATACGTGTAGACTGTCGCGCAAAATCGTATATATTCGTGCGCTCCTGGTGCCGATGGACACTTTGCGTACCCTTGGATGATTACCCTCTCCCTCCCCCCCGCGTCTCTCCCTCAACCACCCACCCCAACACCCCCAAGCGTTCTCTTCTCTATAACACCCATCTTCGCGTCTCTCTCTCGTATTCCCTTCTTTATCAACGTCTTTTTTTTTACATATTGTAATTTAATAATCAATGAAAGTAAACAAAAAAAAAATTGTTTTATTTTTATTATTAAATAATTTCAATTTTTTTTAATGAATTATAATTTTTATTTGTAGAAAAAGCGAAATAAAGAGCTTAAACGAAAAGGTGATCATAGTATGAATGGATTGGATCCCTATAATGATGACGATGAGGATATGCTCAAAGAGATGGCGAGGAAATTCGAAGCCAAATATGTAAGAATAAAATTCTTTTAAAGAATTGAAACTAAAAAGAAAAAAAATTGGGAAATTAAAAAAAAATTTAATTACAGGGTACACCAACATCAGGGAAGAAAATCAACAATCATAAATTCGATAGTTACACAGATTTGGGAGCAGGTTACGATGAAAATGATTCTTTTATCGATAATACGGATGCTGTGAGTATTATTTTTTCTCTTATTTCATTTTTACAATTGAAATTTTATAAAAATTATTATTTTTTTTTTTATTATACAGTACGATGAAATTGTACCCGAAGAGGTAACGACAGCTTATGGTGGCTTCTATATTAATAGTGGCGCTCTTGAATTCAAGAATTCTAATAACAATACTGTCTTTAATGTTCGTAATGATAACGATGACGAAGATGAAACTAGCGATGATGATGATGAAGATGAAGAAGATACTCCTAAGAGAACAGATAAACGTATGAATTCTTCTTCAGAATGTGAAGAAGGAGAAGAAATCGCTCGTGATCATCCTGCAAAGGTATTTTTAAATTTCAAAAAATAACATTAATTCTAAATTTTAAATCAATAATTTATTTTCAGAAACAAAAATTAGATGATGTTGAGAAAAAAGCTAATAACGATTCTCTAATTAGAAAAAAGAAGAAAAATCATCACTCCGATGAGGGTCAAAATAATAGTTTACAAAATACTCGAGATTCTGAATCATTTAAAAAGAATTCAGACCAAAATAGAGTTGATAATTTAGAGAAAGAAACAAATGGTGGTAATTGATATGATTTTATTTAAGATATTTTAAATGAATATAAAAAAATATTTAATTATTAAATTCTTTTCTTTTTTTAACAGAATCAGAAGAAAAAAAGAAGCACACAAAATCAAATGATGTTCAACGTTCGAAAATAACGAGTGAGAAGAAATTTGATGTGAAAAAATTTGTGAAAAAAGTAACGAGCAATGGTTATGATACAAAAAAAGTGGAGGAAAAAAAGGAGACAAATATTGTGAAGGATAGTAAAATTGATGACGCTATTGAAAGTGTAGTTAATGCATCTCATGTTGATGTTGATGAATCAAGTCGTGAAACATCGGATTCTGGAAAATCACCTGGAGCACCTGGAACTGAGTCCGATAATGAGGAACAAGAATGTCCTTTGCCTGATTGCCTTCCCGATGATGTTAAAGAAATTTGTAATAATTTAAAAGTTCTTGCTCGTAAACCAACTGGCAAAAGTAAATTTTTTAATCAAAACGTTAGTACGCTTCTCTTTAGGTACGAATTTTTCTTATTTAACATAAATTGTTTTTTTTTTTTTTTACTAAATTATTATAAGTCTTGAAAATTTATTAATATTTTTTATTTTTTCAGCTTAGAGAGTAAACTTCGAATGATAGGCGCAAATAATATAAGGTTACAAACCTATAAACATTTGGCACATTATGTACCATGCACTAAAACTACTCTTATTAATCGGGCCAAAAAATTGCATATGCAATATCAAGAAGGTCGTGTTAAATCACAATTAGAAAAGTAAGTTAAAATTAATTATTATTTAAATAATGGAAATTAAAAATAAATACAATATAGTCAAGATGAATTTTCAAATTCACGATGTTCGTAAAGATTTGTATTGTTTTAGGTTAAAGTCTATAATTGATCAAATTATGCCAGCGGCTGAGGAAAAATATAAAAAAGAATGCCAGAGGATAGTTGAAGAAAAGTGAGTTTTATTAAAACTTGTAAGATTTTAATCGTAATTTCAAATTAAATAACAATTTTTTTTATTTTTAAATTGAAAATTAATTTGAAAAACTTTTTTTTAAAAAAGAAGGAAGGAATTTTCAGTAAAAATTTCTCTTTATTTCTCAGCCCTCAATTATACTGGGATATTTATCGGTACTGTTGGTAAGGTGCCCCTAATAAAAAATTTATGCTTTTAATAGATTTCGATTTTTTTTTTTGGTTTTACACTTTTTTTCTTACATTTATTTTCTCCATTAAACATGAAGTTTGAAAATTTTATTCATGCTTGAATTTAAATTCAATATTTAACTCATCATTAATTCCGAGACATTTTTTGTAATCATGCATTTAAAAATTTTTTAAATTAAAAATTCTAAAATAAAATATTTAGTAAAAGAATGTCTCGGAAAGGAATAATTATTAAAAAAAAAAAATAATACGGGGCTTTTCATCATCAGTATCTAATTTAATTGTTTCTCATCATTGACATTATTACTGAGTTTCTTGAACTTTAATTAAAAATAAAATTGAAAATTGAAATTTATTAATTGCTTTCAGGAATTTCCAGTCACCAATGAGAGATTCTTTATCTGATCCAAATGATGCTGATGGGAGTGTAAATAAAAATACGGACAAATTACCAGAGAAAAAGTTTCCTTGGTCCAATGAGAGCTTGTAATTTCTTTTCTTTTTTTTATTAAGAATTTATTTAAATTTATTATTTTAATTATAAAAAATTATATTTTTAATGATGAAACTTAATCTAAATATATATATTTTTAGAAACATTTTACGGGAAATGGCAAGCTGCAGGAGAAATTACTTTAAAATTTCAAAACCGAGAAATACAAGTCTGGAGAATTTTGTTTCATCTTTTTTCGAGTCGGATGTGTTACCTCTTTGGCCTGCGGGTTGGATGAAATTAGAAAAGCTTTTACAGTGTGCTACGGCTAATGTTTCGTAAGTATTATTAAATAATTAATATTTTATTCACATTCACAAAATTTTAATTGGGACTTTACATTTTTATAAAAATTTCAATGCTTTACACTGCTTATTTTTGTTCTTTTATCGTCAAAACCAAAAATTAAAAATAAATATAATGCAATATTTTTGAAGAGACAAAACAAAATATAATGAAAAATTAGAAAATGCTTTTTTGGTTTTAACAATTAAGCATCGCTTATTTTGTTTATTATATTGTGTGTTTTAGGAGGTGATTTTTTTTGGATCATTAGAATGTTAACACGGATCATTGCTACTAATCGTCCTTTGTCTCCTCATTAAAATAATGTTGAGACGTAAAAAAAATAAATATTCAAAAATAATTTTTTATGACGATTGTAATTTAAATCAGTTTGTTCTAACAAAAATTGAACTTCGAGAATACGTTTTAAAATACTTGAATTGGCTCTCAAAGTGTTTAAAATATTTTTTTTTTTTTTTTTTTTTTGTTTAAGTTGTTGTTTATTTTAATTATTATTTTTTTTGTACTACATGTATTCGAAATTTTTGTGTTTATAATATTTATTAGTAAAAGTTAAGAATTTCTCTGATTTAAATAATTTTTTGTTTTATTTTTTTCATTTACTCACCTACAATTTTCCTTAACAATAAAAATTCCTTGCAAAAAAAAAGTAAAAGAAAAGAAATATAAAAATAAATCTTGAGAAAATGTAATTTTTTTTTTCTTAATAGTTAATTTAAATTGTTATTAGAAGAAAATTTTATCATACTAGAGAGAGAAGATTTGTCCAATTGTGAAATAAATTTCTTTTATGATTTTAGCCCTAAAAAGAAGCAGAAGAAGTCTAAGGATTCGAGTGTTCCATCAAATTCCATTGTCATTGCTTCTGGTAGTGTCAATAATACATCAAAATCCGAATCTATTGTGAATAATACAACATCACATTCATTGGATAAAGGGAAAACAATTTCAAATTCATATAAAGTAAATGCGACGGAAAATTCGCTCAATCTAACAATAACAAAATCAAATGATTCATATAATGAAAAAAAGCAAAGCAGTTCGAAACATAAAGAAAAGAATAATAGTAGTCATCATCAAGCAGAAAACGCGACTCCTAATGTGCCTATCGGAAAAATAACCGTCGTGCCTACCGCGCAATTGTTGGCGAAGCCCTCATCAAATAATATTGAAAAATTCAATCCCATGGATCTTACCGGCAATAGTTCTTTATCAATAACACCTGTCGACTATCAAAAACCAATTGTAACAAAAACCAACGAAATAAAAAAAGACACCGTTTCAATTATTCCATTCACTGAATCAACAACAACACATAATGAAACAAACATATCGCAACAGCAGAATTATCATTCCCGTCAGCAGGAGATAAATAATCAAAATTCCGTTATGGTTTCAATGCCAATACGTGTACTTCAAGATGCCTCCATTGAAACAACAACAACAACACCAACAACTCCTTCTCACAGTCATAAATTTTACATTGATCATGATATGGATTATTTTAATAAAAATGAAAAGAAACAAGATCGTTATTATGATGGTCGTCATAAATCGCATGAGACAAAAAAAAGAAAAAGAGAGAGTAAAAGTGATAAGGAAAAAATTGAACAAGAACAAAAACAAATTGAAGAAACAGTTGCAGCAACAAATTATCTTAGTCAATTTATAAATGATGATTCACCGGAAAAAAAGGAACCAATAAATACTGATGATCTATTGGGATCAACACCAGCCAACGATCAAGCAACCGATGATATTCAAATGGTTATGCGTTCAATTCAACAACTTCAGGAAGAATTGAATAATTCGCCAAATTCATCTGTCGGTAGTAGCGCTTCCAAATCAATTAAAAATGACATTCAATACAGTTTGTATAGTAAAAATGACAACAACTATAGAATACCAAAAGAGGATCGTCAATGGTGAAAAAAAAAAATGCTGTGGAAAAATATTACAGCTATTATCGAGGAAAAAAGTTGTTCTTCCATTTTTTTTCCATTTCTCTTAAATAATAATAATAATAATGATAATAATAATAATCCTCGGAATGATATAAGATCGAATGGATAGTGGGTTTCAAGCTGATGATAATAATTTTAGTGCGTGTGATTTTATTGCTCATCTATTCACACCAAGATACAAACATTCGAGTATTTTTAATTCGCCAAAATCTGTACATAAAAATACATTAACAAGTATGTATGTATCTAATTGAATAACGTAGTGTATACGATCGTACATGTACAGAATTAATTATAAAATTATTAAGTTACGATAATGAAAATGACGTCGCTAAATTGTAGCAGCGTTTATTTCCAATGGGTGGCCTTAATTATTTTTTTTTTTTTTAATTTACCGTATAGATCATTTTTGATACTAGTTGTATTTTTGTTTTGTTTTGTAGAATCAAAACTGGGCTTTTTTAACTTCCACACTAAATAATTAATCTATGATTTTTTGTTTTTCAATTTTTAAGTGAGAGAAAAATGAATTTATCCCATCTGTGAATTTTACAGAACACTTTTTTGACTTTTCTTTTTTCCAAAAATTACGTTTTTTAAAATTGACGAAATTTTTTCAAAAAATAAGAATTAAAAAATATAATAGAACAGAAAAGAGTTATTTGAAAAATATTAAAGAACAAGAACTGTTGAACAATTTCTTTCAATATTTAAATAGTATTTTTTTTTGGCCCAGTTTTGTATAGAAGAAGAAACTGAAATCAAAACTGAAAATTTATTTTTTTATATCAGATATAAATAAATGTATCAGAAAGAATCAGTAAATGGAAAAAGAAAATTTTCTATGTATTAGAGAAAATTATTTTTGTAGAAAACATTTTTTAAGGCCACCCAATAAAAGTAATTTTATAAATGCGAATAGCAACAGACTGTTTGTGATAGTTTTGACACATACATAACAAACACACTGCTTAGAGTATATGAAACTAACAAAAATCGGCTAATTAAATTCGCACTTTGAAAGTTTTCCAACTGCCAAAGAAAAAATTAAATTATATAATTAACAATGAAAATTCTCGACTATTATTTATAGGCTTTATTATGTATTCAGAATTAAATTCTTATTTTTTTTTTAAATTTGCACTGAATTTCTATTAAAAAAAAAAAAAAGACATCGATAATCATTTAATGATTAAATTAATATTTAATTATAAATAATGAAATTATTAATAAAATTAATAATTATTATTATTATTTCGTATCGTTTTCTTCAAGCAATTGACAAACTTTCAAAAATTAAAGAGAATGTTTTTCAAATCATCACTGCCCATAAAAAGTGCGACGATTTTTGTTAATGATCGTTTTTTTTTTTTTTTAATATTTAATTCGACGTGCGCAGCTAGATTTAAAAATCAGAAGCTAAACTTAGTTGCATTGAAATGTGATTTAATTACTAGATGTTACATTTCTTTACAAGTAATTTCATATTTTAATTTTTATTAATAATTTAATAAAATTACTATTAATTTTAATAATTCTCGATTTTTAAAAAAATATTTACCAAATAATTTTTCATGTAAAAAATGTAGTCAATATTTCTCCTTTAATGTGTGTTTTTTTTAAATTATTTAAATTATTTTTTGAAATTATCTGTTGGTACAAAATGTTTGAAAAAAACATCTATTTATTAAATTGACAAATATGAAAGTGCAAAATATTGTTTAGCGTCTGATTTGTGTGAAGAAGATAATGTTTTTGAAGAATGTAAAATTATGTACGAGTCCATTGTTTGCGTGAATAATAAGTATATTTTTTTCGAGTGCTTTTGCTGTTGCAGCAAAAAAGCAAAAAAGAAAAAAAAATAATTGAGTGACTATGATATTGTGTATCATATAATGCGTTATAAGTAATCGACAATTAGCTGCCCAAATTTTTTCTTCTTTTTTTTGTTTCCCATTTCCCTTTGAAAAAAAAAACGTTATGACGAAATTTAGTCACGAGTACAGTAGAACATCTTGTACCTACTATTCTCGATCAATTATTGTTTTTGATTGAGGCCTCATAAAATATAAGTTTTGAATATTTTTTACAATATTTATAATATAATCTTTACCTTTCGCCAACTCTAGTCCCCCCCATCATTTGCGTTTATTACCCTAATTTTTCATATTTTATACACTTGATGATTTTGGTTTTTTTTTGTCACTTAAACAGCAAAATGTCGAGTATAGTAATTATTGCTTTTTTTGCAGATGAATTTTAATCCATTGTTTCGTTGAAAAGTACTTGTAACTATGTCGCCAAGCGTTTTTAGGTTTAAATAAAGTTTCTTTTTTTTATATACAAAGCGCTCTTTTTATTGATGAAAAGTGGAGAAAAAAAAATTTATAAAAGCAAGAAGTTCTTTCTAAGGAGTTTATTTTTTTTGGAAAATTAACGACATAAATAATTTAAGGAAATTGGGAAATTAAAGGCAATGCAATATGTCATTGTCATGTTTAGCGATGCGATTGATAAAGAACCTCGACCACGAAGAAAGGGATTGATTTGAAATCGAATTTAAACCGTTTCGAAAAAGGATATATTCTCCACGGATTTTAATTTTTTCTTTTTAAGTACTCTTTGTCACTTTTGAAAACAGGATGTATTTCGTTTTGTCGCTTTTACAAGGATTTTCGATCACTTACAAGAAGCGATTTTCTCTCGAGTAAATCAGCAGATCGTTCGATGACTGCCTTTTGGTAATGTCACTTATATTCTCATTATTTTTTTTTACTAAATAATTTGAAAAATATTATTTTTTTATGATTAATAAATTTATTTCTTTTTAATAGGGAAAATTTTTGAGGAATGGAGATATTACGGATTTTTACAATTATTTTCATCATCATACCATTTGTAATTTGTTCAAATTTGGATTTTGATGATGATCATCATGTGAAAGACAACGAGAAAGGATCATCAATAAAGGATATTACAAATCGTGGAAGTGAATCTAAATATATACTTCATGATAAGGGAAGAAGTATCAATGAGGATAGTGCAGAGACGGAGAAAAAAGAAAGTAAATCACATGAGGAGGAAAAAAAATCAGGACATTACGATGAAAAGGATTCGATGACAAAGGGACACGATGTTGCACGTCAATCTGGTGGTGAATCGGAAAAAATTGATCAAAGTGAACATTCACATGAAAAACATGACAAGGGACAAGAGAAGAAAGGATATCATAGAAGTGGTTTTGTCAATAAATATCACAAGGATGAATCAAGTGATAATTCGAGTTATTATGAGGATAGTGACAATCAAAAAGGACACAAGGGATATGAAGGACGCAATGGACAAAATTATGAAAAGACCGCAGATTCTTATAAGGATGATGCTCATGATAGAGCTCTAGCTTCGAAAAATAATGCTAATCACGGCGTTTACGACAAGGGAAAAGGGTAAAAAGAATATATTTATTTTACCATGATTTAATAATTAATTTACTTTATCTAAAATTTTCATTTATTATTTAATATAATGATAATATTAAATTTTTTAATTTCTATTTATTTATTTTTATTGTGTCTGTATTAAGAATCTAATTATTTTTTGTTTGTACAATTTACAGATACAAAAATCGATATAATTACGCGGGAGGATATGACAACAGTCGTTATGATGACGATAGAAGAAAAATCTACCACGATGGAGCAGGAAGATATTATGATCATAATGGAAATGAGATCTACTACTATCGTCGAGAACATCCCTATATTTATTATGATAACGAATATTATCCTCATGAAAATCCTCATTATAATGCTTATTATCCTCGAAATCATTACGATACTGGGTAATTTAATTTTTTGCAAAAAATATTATAAAATAAATTTTTTACTATTAAAAATATAATATAAATTTATTTTAATTATTAATATTATGTTATTAATTGTTTTTTCTCTAGAATTTATTCGAATCAACATAATTATTATAATGATGATCACTATTATCCTGCTATGAGACGTTACTACGATGGATTTGATGATACTTGGACGGATTATTATAGAGATGATTATGATACTAAATATTCGAATGGATATGAAAAAGAATATTTACCAAATAATTATCATCAAAATTATTATGGGAGATATTAAAAAATTGAATGTAAGACATTTTTTCTAAACAATTTCATAGTTAATTTTCACAAGTTATTAATGCAATATTTTTAATAGAAAATTAAAGAATATTTTTTAAAACAAAATAACAAATAATATTAATAGTAACAATATTAAGAATTAAAATTTGACCTGGACAGTTAAAAGGGACCTTTTGTCCGAAAAAATCGATTTTTTATTGATTGGTGTTTCTGATAAAGAAAACTTTTTTCTATCAGAATCACCAATCAATAAAAAATTAATTTTTTCAAACAAAAGGTCCCTTTTAACTGTCCAGGTCACAAATTAATGTTAAATAGAATCAGATTGAAAAATTTATTTAATTTTTAAATTAAACATTAAAAATTATTTTACTAATTGTTCTTACCTCTAATAAAATTCATATAGTGTTCAATTTAATTGGCAGTTTTTTTTTTTACTTGAATATTTATTTTGAAATATATTAATAATTACATTCAATTATAATAATTTCCATATTTCAGTAGCTTATTTTCGATTTTATATAGTATTGTACATTATAAGATCAACTATGGTCATAAATAATGGATAAACCAAAACTTCTATAAGAGATAAATTAAAATTCATTATAAATAAATAAATATTAATTTAATTATTTATAATAATAATTAATAATAATAAATCGTCATTGAAAATAATTATTATTGTTGATAAATTAAAATTATATTTACCTGGGAAATTTAAATTAGTCATATTTTCATAAACAACCACATGAAGCATCGTAAGAAATAAATTGAGTCCATTTAAACAAGTTCTTATGATCCAATCAAAATCATGATCAATTTCATCATCATTCATTCCAAAACGTCGATTTTTTTTATTTTGAATTTGTGAATTAAAAATAGATCTCTTTTTCCGTTTCAATGAAAAATAATTTAGAATATGAAAATTTTGAAATACTTTTAAATTTAAAAATTTTTATTATTAAATTCTCCATGATTTTCAATTAATTGTGATGAATTATAATAAAAAATCATTTTGACATTTGCTTCAGGTCGTTTCAATATTAGCAGACTGTCTATTGTTTCAATTAAATCGAATGGAAAAAATACAGTTGAATAATTATCGAATATATAGTATTTGATTACCTGAACCATGAAATTCTCTCTCAAAATCAATATTCTGATATAGGTACTAAGAGAGAGATTTGAATCTTGTAATTATCTTCTCTAATTGGAACAATTTACATGGCAATTATGTCTTAGTGTTAAGCTGAGCTAATCAATAATTACAGCTACTAAAGATAAATATATAATAATCATAATCGTAAAAAGTTTATATTAAACTTTAATAATGAAATTCATGGAAAAAATTTTCTAATCAATTTTTTTATTTATTAACAATTTTTAAAATATCAACAACTATTTACAATTAATAAGAAAAATATTATTTCTAATTTATTGAAAATTTGTAATATATTAATAATTAACAATTATATTAAAAAGAATTTTATTTATTATTTATATAAAAAACAAACAAAACTTGAGACTTGGATTTTTATTGACAATAATTTAGAAACGGTCTCAAATCTTTATTTTGAATTATTAATATACTTTGTTAATTATTAATATACTTGATTAATACTTAATTAAGTAATAATAATTATTATAGATAATAATTATAAATTAAAACAAATTAACTTGAAATGAAAAATTATACACGATTGAAAGAATTCAAATTTGAATTTAAGTTGAAAATTTTGCCGCGCTTGGCGCTAGTATCGCGAATGATGACGCAAGAAGAAGCTCTCCAACACTCTCTCAACAATAGTGTGTCTGCGGCCAGCTGAGTGACCTTGCAGTGTTTGTAAACAGATACACGTTGTGTTGTGAAGTCTCGAAAGTTTTCATACCAATTGTGAAAATCATTTGCTTAAAGTTTACGACAATTAGAATAAACAACAGTAAACTAGAGGAATCATGGAGGTAGAACAGATGTGCATCGTTGAGAACGAAACGGTAAGTTGAAAACAAATTTTATTCAGTATATATAAAATCAATCATTTGGGGGGGAAAAATCCAAAGAAGTAGGTAACTGTTATTTTAAGTACAAATGACGACACGTGTTAATATAATTAACATTAATTGTATAATAATGCATGGAACAATGTTATTCGATTGTTTTTACATTTTTTTTGTGTATGTGGGGTCTAAACAAAGGGCGTTGTTTCATATGACGTCAGGATGTCAAATCACCTCGTCTTTGTTGTCTACAGATTATTGTTTGAGGGGAGAAGGGAAAGGTGCGCAATGGAGGAATCGCTATTTACTATCGTGTTTTCTTGTCTTTTTAGTTATAGCTTTCACGTTTTCAGGAAACGAAACGAGTTGGCGCCTTAGGTCTTGTTCTGTTTTTCTTTGTTGCATATTTCTTCATTTAGATGTCACTAGTATATTAAGTTATCACGTGGGTAATCAGGGATGTGTTTATGTTTAAATTTTGTTTCATATTTTTGCTAAAATTTAGTTTTGCATTAACATTATTATATTTTATTTTACAGTTTTTTTCTCAGGGGTTTGATTTTGAGGTTATGTCATGTATATTGTTACTTCCGTTTCTTTCGTTATTATATAGGAAAAATCAAGTGACCAATAATATTATTGCAAGATCGATTGTGATTGGTGAATTTTGAAATTATAATTCAATATTGCTTTTTTCTTTGAAAATGACCGGAAGTCATGTTTAAAAGGCAAAAATCGTCACAGTAAAAAAAAAATGTTATGGAAAAACAAATAGGAATTTTGAAAAGGTATTTATATTTTGTTAATTTTAACTTTATGGTGCAAAATGTGATAAAGCTTGAGTATAAAGTTTAATTGTTGGAAATTAAGGTTAGGATTTAATTAAATGGAAAACTGTATAGTTTTATGGTAGTTAATTATAATCTCTTTTATTTAGTATTACATTTTTTATTGTAGTATTATTAGCAGCAAAATTTTTTTTATTATTTTTATCAACAGTGGTTTGTTATAAATATTTATAAGAATATTTTAATTTACTTTATTGGATTCAAGAGGGCTTTTCAGCTTCCAGCTGGTGTCTTTCAATTTCAAATATAATAAATCTGTGGTCTCTGTATCACGTTATTGTTAACAGATAAAGAAATTCAGAATTGTGAACCACATATGTTACAGTGAAATAGAAACATTTTTCAAAGAGAAATGAATGCTTTTCCAAAGATATATATATTGTTTTTTAAATAATTATTTAATTATAAATTTTTTCATTGCTTTAAAACAAGAAATAATTTCATTTCATTTATTCAATTTTGTTATTTCTTATAAAAGTAGATTATAAATATTTTTTCTTTTAAAAATATGATGCAATGTGAATTATACTTTTTTTTTGTTTTTGATTAGTTAATTACAATTTATGAAAGGTTTTTTTTCATGTTTCGAATTTAAAAGGAAAAATATTCTTTCAGGTAACCTTATTAGACAGTTTCCCATTTACTAAATCTCATTATCGGTTCCTTAATTAACACTGACATTCATGATTTCTCTGCAAATAAATGTACCAACTGAATAATTTGTCCCGAGAATATTGACTTGTGTTTTGCAAATGTAAATTAAATTATCAAATCTAAAGGAATTTCTAATTAATGAAAAAAACATTTACAATACTTTTTCGGGTATTTTAAAGTAATTATCTTTTTTTTAAAATTGTTTGTATATTCAAATTAAATTAATTTATTAATTTCCTTTAATTTTTTTTCCGATTTGTTTTTAAAATTAATTTTTCCAATGTTTTCTGTTTTAATTCAGTTTTACGATTTTGTTTGTTTTTGAGTTAAAATAGTTTTTATTAATTTTCGAGAAATAAAAGCTGCAAAAAAAAATTTCGGATGTTTTGAAAGAGATAGAAATCATTAGTATTTATATATACAATATTTGTGATCAAAGGAAATTTCTGTTTCCTTTGATCATAAATATTGTACTAGTAATGAAAAAAATGTTTTTTCTGTATTATATAAAAAATAAACCTCAAAGAACAAAATTTAGTTTCGGTTACAATATTTGTATATATAATATAAAATTTTCTGGTTATGAAATTTTTCTGATTGACGGGACTTCATTAGTATTTTTTTTTTCTTCTAATTTTTCATATCGATTTTTCCCACAAATCTCGCAAAAACAATTATTTTGTTGTTTCTTTTGTGCGCAATGGTAATAAAATAAATAATTAACATATAAACGTTATAATGATGTAATATAATACAACTCCCACACTGTTTTTTCTTTTGTAAATTTACCATTTTGCATAAAGAGTGCCAATTACAATAATTTATAATATGCTAATTTGCGATTTATTATCAACATTTCTGCGATATTGAAAATACAAAATTTTTTTTTTTCGTATAATGTTATGTGAATCCGTAATGCGGCGTTGTAATCGTGTATAAAAAAAAAGAATTTACAAATACAATATTGTATAGTATTTATAATAGGAAGTCGGTATATTGAATCGGGTACTTTCTTTATTAAGCGGTCCCTGGACCATTCTAAGATTGTGTATTGCTGCGCAGTTGACAGAAAGAACACTGCACAACTCACCGGTGAGTTATTTATCTTTTTTTTTATATATTAATTTTTTTTTAAATTTGTGATAATTTTTCTCATATAAATTTATAAAATTTTTCCCTCTTTGTGCGCGTTTGAAAATTAATTATTTTTTTTTGCATTTAAATATTTCTTTCATTCATAAATAGAAGAATGTAAAAATTTTGCAAAAAAACGTAATAATATTTAAACTACTTGCGTTAATTATTTATTTGTATGTGAATTTATTTAAATTTTCACTAGTTTGTGTTTTAAATTTTCAAGGTGAAATTGTGCCGGATTTAAAAAATATAGTTTTATAATGATTGCGATTTTTCCCGCGATGTCATTGAACCCATATGCGTCGTTTTTTTTGAAAAAAAAAATATTAACACTTTTGTGTAAAAGATATAAATTTTATTTCCTTTGTTTTTCATTCAAGGTAAATGAGAATTGTGTATTTGTATTTTGTATCGATTGCAAGTCTTAACTGCGTATCATCATCATTCAGTAGGTCGTTACGCACGAAACACTCTCGCAACCTCGTATCAACGGTATTTTTATATATTCTTTAACAATATAATCAAGGATCTTCAACTCGATTGAAAATATATAGGAAGAATTGTTTTTTTTTTATTGATAGATTTTCACATAAAATTTTTTAATAACGTAGCAGGATCATTTGAATTATTTTTAATTACAAATTTACATGAAATTATATATTATATTTTTTTGATTAATATTATTATTAATTATTATATTAATTAATTATTATAATTTTAATAAAAAAATAAAATCAAAATTATTCATTTGAAAAAATTATTTTAAAAGATATTTTAAATAATAATGAATGAAATTTTATTTCGGAGGTTTTAATTTTTTTTTTTATATCAAATATTAAGAAAATTAGTTTCTTGATTGATTTTTCAAAAAGTATTCATTAACATAGAATATAGACGATGAAAACGCTTTCAATTAAGATATCAAGAATCGAGGTTTATACATACATTGTAATCTGTTAATTAGTTTGCTTCTGTCGGTTTACTACTATCATTGAGTAACGAATTATTTCTACCAGTTCCATATTATATAGCGGGTCATTCATCCGTTCATATGATTTATACGAATAAATTTAATTGAATTTATTTAAAAAAAAAACAATTTGAAAAATTAATTGTCAATTTTAATAATTTTTCAATTTAAAATATTTCAAATAATCCAAATTGTAAATTTATTAATTTAATTTAATTTAATTTAATTTATTAATTAAAAATATCTGTATTTCATAATTTCATTTCTGTTTATTTAATAAAATAAGTGGAATTAATTTTGTAATTCAAGTACATATTTCTGTAGAATCATGATAATGAGAGAAAACGCGTTTAATAGTTTTGGATTTGATATTTGTAAAAGAAAAAAAATAGTTAAGTAACATTTTTTTTAAATAAAAATATTATTTTTTTTGTTATATTTGAAATATAGAAAATAAATTATTTTTTTGTATGTAAATATGAAAATTAATATAATGGACGCGAATAATTTATTTCTCATTTGAAATTCTTGTGCCACATGGCGAGATAAATTCTATATTGTTGTATAGTATTGTACATGTTTAGTGCACAAATTTTGCTTTTATGAAATTATATACATACATAGATTTTACAGAGCATATCGGACATTGCACAGTTATATCGAGAACGTATTATGTTTTTCATTAAATTCCCCAACGAAAGATTTATGAGCGCATATCATCATTCACCATATATTCCTTTTTTTTTTTTTTAAAGCAGGGCGTATTCAGATATTTACAAACTACTCATATATACATGCATATAACCAGATTAGCATGGAAAGAAATCGATGTTCGTTCGTTCAATGCACTTGGCGTGAAATTTGCATAAATGCAATTTTTATATTTCTGCGAAAATTTTCATAACCAGAGAATATATAAAAGTGTTATTATATATATATATATATATATATATTAAGACATAGGGCTTAAAAAATTTATTATAATTATTTTTGTTTTTTTCCTAATACTTTTTTAAAAAATTCTGTTACAGGTTTTTTTTTAATGAAAGTGAGAGAAACTGAATTCACGAAACAGGGGTCATTTGGAAAAATTAGATAGTAAAATTAAAATTACTGAAAAAGTTGAGCATAATATATGCAAATTCTGTTAAGATTTAATTTTAAGTGACGTGATAACAAATTATTTTAATATTTAATTAGTGGTGCGGATCAAGTTTCGAGTTTCGAGAATATTAAATCTTTTCTGCGGAAATATTATAGCTAACAATTTTACCTATGTTTATTCTTTGTTAATTTTAGTGTTTTTATTTTTTATTATTTTATTTTTTATTTCGTTTAATTATTTTAATATTATTGTTTTAATATTTGGTTTTTAATAGTATTTTTTAATTTTTTTTTTAAAAAACATTACAAATTTTTGGAAAAATGTTAATTTTAATAAAAATTTTCCCCTAAATTTCTATTATAAAAAATTAAAAAAGAAAAAAAAAAGAAAAGAGGAAATTGAATGCTTGAAGTAATTTAAAGCTTTCCGGAGTGCAGAGGAACTTATTTCTCTTTTTCTATATGGAAACTTTAATACTCAAACATTACTTTACTCTATCTTTTTATGCAAGAGGGATAAAATGATAGTTTCACAGTAAAAACTTGTCCAACTCGAAGCTCAGATTTCGTTATATGTGTATAAAATCTCGAATATAAAAATAAGTCTCTAATGTTCTCGTTTGCTTTCGGTTATATATATATATTTTCAATCATTTCTCCTCCCCCCCCCCAAGACAAATTTTGTACTTTCATAAAAACTTTTCAAATAATTTTATAATAACTATTTTTAAATCAAAACTTTCGCGTTGAAATTACTGAAATTATTATTAATTAGAGGAATTTTTTATAATTATTAATATTTGTGAATTTTATTATTTTATTTCTTGAAATTATTATTAATTAAATAGAATTTTTTCCCTTCCATAAATATTTAATATTTGTGAAAAAAAAATTTTTTAATCGAAATGGTATTTATAAAATTTTATATAAGTTGAAATTTATTGTGTCGAGTTAAATGCCTTGAAATTCGAATAGACGATGCAAATTTATTGAAGTTGTGTTAGTACGCGATGCAACGTCGTGTAGATGTAGTTATGATCCACTATTGTCCCCAGAATCTCCCTTGTATTCATTGTTACTAGGCGTAACTCGGAAAATTATGCGAGAGAAAAGGGCCTCAACTTCCTCTAAATATTTCTATTTTTTTTCTATTTTTTCTATTTTAAATTTGATTGATTTATTATTTTCTTTTCAAAGGGATAAATAATGACAATTTTTCTTATATTAGTTTTTTTTTTGTAGGTATAAGTCGCAGTTGGCAGATTGCTAGGATTTGAGAAAAGGTTGCAGAACTGATCTCCTATATAGTGACTTTTTCTCTTTCACAATAGTGTGAAATCCTGGTTGAAATAGGATTTATTTCCTTTAACTTTAAATCCGTCCACGCTAATTTAATTCCAACCGCAAGAAGAGATTGACCCAGAGGCGAGAGAGATTTTTCTCAAAAGGGAAGTTTTCTCTCTCCCTCTCTCTCTCTCTTTTTTTTCTACCCCTTTTACTTTGACTAACCATTAAAATTGGACTCGTCTCGAGGGACATATACTCTCTCGTGTCGCGGTTCCTTAGTTTAGTTATGCATGCACGCCCTCGGTGACAAAATACAAATTCCCTCCTCTCATCTCTCAAACGTTATATGTATATACTCGTCAATCCTATCTGATATTAAATCTCGAATTTTTTTTTTTTTTTTTTCTATCTCATCGTCACTTTTGGGATTCTTTATATATCTTACTTTTTCAAACTATCTCGCTTTTACTCGCACGTACGTTTCTTTTATATTCTATGGACCAAAAAGCTCAGAGAGGAAATTCTTTTCTGTATTTGCTTTTGCGCGAACCTCAATATTCCGAGTGACCAATGGATGTTTACGATTGCAATACAGATTTCGTATCTGCTAGAATGAATTTAACTGAATTGGAGCAAAAAAAAGAAACAGTGACTAAAAAAGCGTTTTGCGTAATTGTTTCATTTTTTTGGATGAGTGGAAAATTTATACCTTTATATATAACGAATTGTAGAATATAATAGTAACTTTTTGCAAATGTGACAATTGGGAAAATTACTCGTTTTTGCATATTCGTTAAAAAAAAAAGTATTCTGAACCTATGCCAAAAAAGATTTTTACATCTCTATTTGAAAAATGTGTTGTGGAACTTTTGATTTTAAAAAATATTAATAATTTTTATAATTATTATAGTGTATTTTTTTATTTAAAAAATTATTTTCTTTTTTTAATTTTTTCTCTCGATACTAGCATTTTTAAAGGTAGAGAGTGTATAAAAATTGTTATTTTTCTGGGACGACCCTTAAAAATCATTTTTACCTTCACCATTGACCGTACTTATCTCTCTTTATGCGGATAGGAAAAGATTTCAACCCCCATACAGTTGAGTTTAGTCCCCAGGTGTGTATGTTTATATATATATATATATACACATGTACGAGGTTATACACAACCGGAAATAACTTCGACTTTTCAATGTCCGGTTTTTCAATGACCTGAGTGGGCTATTCGTTTTCGCGTTTGCTTTACCTTCGAGAAAATATGGAAGACGTAATCACGTTCCTGGGAGTTGACGCTTAAAACGAGAATTTCCCAGGTGTCTCGGAGTTCTTTGTATTTCGTTGCAATATTTTTTTTTTCTTTTTTTTTCCCCCACGTTGAAACGATAAAAACCTATTCCTCAGTAGAATATATGAAATCTCCTTTGGGATCGTTTTGCTATTTCATGTGTGATCAGCGTGGAAAATAGTCGCGACTATTTATCTCTAAATCGGATCAAAATGTACCAGATCTACTAAAAATTTTTTTTTCTAAATCGACTTAAAAAACCAAAAATTGAAAAAAAAAATATTTTGGAGCTGTAAAATATTTTAATCACTCGTAAATTAATTTATTTGATTTTAATTTTATTTTTTATTTCAGGAGGGATCTATTGAAATTTTTTTTTTCTAAATCGACTTAAAAAACCAAAAATTGAAAAAATTTTTTTAGAGCTGTAAAATATTTTAATCACTCGTAAATTAATTTTTATTTGATTTTAATTTTATTTTTTATTTCAGGAGGGCACACGCGGTGACCGGAAAGAGGGGGGCAAGCGAGGACGCAAGCCCGGAAGGAAAGCGTCCGACAAGACGGACATGAAAGCGAAGCTTGGTGAGCTAACAAATTTTTTTCAATACACTGAGAAGAAATAGAGAAATTCGAGGAAACAAATTGCTTTGACTTTCTTTGTCAAGCTTTAATTATATTCAAACTAAAAAAAGGAGAGAGAGATTCTTAAATTTATTTTCTTCTTTGTTATATAAATATACCGTGTAGAATTTATTCTCTCTTGTTGACAATTTTAACTAGAAAGAAATTTCAACAAATTAGAATTTTTTTTTTAAATTTTATTTCTCAAAGATAAATTCACATAAATGGAATTAAAAATATAGTTCATTTTTCTTTTCTATAAAAGTTCTATATGACTATTTTTTTTTCGTACTCTTTTTTTTCGTTTATATTTAAATTACGTTTTATTAAAACCAAAAATAAAATTTTGATTGCTAATTTCTCTATAATAAATGAAAAACTTGTCAAAAACTATAGAATTTTATATATGCAGAAAAAAGTTTCCAAATTTCAAGCTGATGCGAATAGAACTTGAAGTGTCACGTACACCTAGTTTCAAAAAAAAAAAAAAAAAAATTTCATTTGCGGTGAATTGAGTCGAAACTTTCATACCATAGCATACGGTTCAAAAAAACGAATTCAAGAGATGAAAAATTTCTCGTTACAATAAGTTTTGCATTTTTCACAAATCTTTCATTTTTCTTTGAAATTCATATCATTTTTTCATTTTCATCGAATAGTTCTCGTACAAATGCAATCAATTAATAAATATTCAATGATTTTCATCATAAAATGCAATCAATAATGTAAAATTTTATAAATATCGTAACATATTGATTAAAGATTTTTTTTTTAATTGAATATACAAAAAATATTGAAAATATTTTCTTCTCAGTGTACTGAGAGTACTAAATAAAAATTACTGCGTTTCTATTTTTCACATTTGCTTTTTTGTATAGAAATAATATTATTGGTTTATCAAAAATTATTTTAGAATAAAATTTTAATTTTTTCCAAATTATTTTCATTGATTTTTAAAAAAGAAAAATATATTCTTAAATTAAAAATAAATGAATAATTTTTTTTTTTAAATGCATAAAAAAAATAGAAACGCAGTTTTCATAAAATCGTACTTATCTATTTTTTGTTTTTTTAAAACAAAGAATTTATATATGTGATGCTTTCCTATTTAAGGGATGCAGAGAAAGCGACACGAAGCTATAGGTACATATTTTTTATATTCTATGTTTCCTTACCTACTTATAGACACTATTTTTTTTTGTAATAGTTTTTTTTTAATATTTCAAATTTTTATTTCTAAAAAAGGGTGATCAAACTACTTGTAGATTTGAATATTTTTTTTTCTTGCACTGTTTTTTTTTTGTAAATTTCCACTTTTTTAAGTGATTGCATCATTTAAGTTTTTGCCCATGATGGCAAATTGTTTTTTTTTTCATCTGCAAATGAATGCACTTTTTTTTTTTAAACTCACGTAGACGAATTTTTTTTTTCGATAAAAAAAATTATCTCGACGAGAGTGGCAATTTTTTTTTTTTATATGTGTCGGAAGATTGCATATTGTAGCAAATGAATTATTCACGCATGTCATTTTCCATTTTTTGAATTATTTGATATATTCTGATTATGTTTCTAAATTAAAAACTTTTCAGCTTGATGAGGTAATTTTTTTTTTTTTAAATAATTTTTTCTGTTATATCATTTTTTTTTGGTAGAGGTGGTTTTTTAGAGCCTTTTTTGGTATTCAAATTAGATATGTATGAATGTGATGATAATTTTTTTTTTCTTTCTTTTTGGTTAAATTTTTGTTAGTTTTTTATTTATTGTAAATTTAAATTTTTATTTATTTAATTCGTTATAATTTAAATTGCGGAAATTTAAATTTTTTTATTTATTTAATATGTTATATAAATTTAAATTGCATTTGCAATATAAATTTTTATATATTTCATTTATTATAAATTTAAATTGCAATTGGAATTCTAGAATTTGTAAATGAAAATCTGCGAAAACCAAGGGGTAGAAATTGTCTGTTTCATATTTTCGCGTCACGTACCCAGCGAGTTATGTTGATCGGGAAAAGTATATGGGAGGGTAACCAAAAAATTATAAATTGTAATGTTCTGGAATTCAAAATCCGTCCTCTCGTAGAGGCGTCCGACTGCAATGAGCACAGATTCGACGTGATGGATGAAGTATATTTATCTCTTTTGCGAATGAATATTTATGCGGGTCATCCCTTCCTCCTTCCTCCCCCCCTCCATCCACCCCCTTTTTATCATTTTCTCTACTATCGCGAGCTACAACGAACGTTATATACATATATATATATACACGTGGAATATTTTGCTATTCCGCGTCCTTTTGCCAAAGACGAAGTGTACCGCGATGGTATAGGCAAAATGCAACTCTGTTGCCTTACTCGCTTTTGCTATCACAGTAATTTTCACCGAGTTGTTATTTCTGCTACGTAAAGTCCTTTTATTTAGTGGAAAGTTTATATAATCGTATACCATTTTTTTTTTCATCTTCATTCTTCTCGATGTTTATTATTCCTCTTTTTTTTCACTCTCGTGAAATTCTCGCTCTATATTCGCAATTGTTTTCTTCTCCGGTGTTCTTTCCACCTCTTTTTAAACACCTTAGGCTTTTGAATTTCATTTGTATATGTTTCGTGAATAATTTTTTTTTTTATTTTACATTTTTATGAATTTTTCTTTTCTTAATTTCATTGTTTGATTATTTTTCATTGTGTTACAAAATAGAAAATACTTTTTTTAAAAAAAAAATTTAGTGTGAGGATATTTTTTAGTTCTCAAATACTTTTGTATTTTTTTTTTTGTACAAAAAATATTTTAGAATTAATAGAAATATTTTTGAAACTAAAAAATAGAAAAATACTTTTTCCAAATTTTGAAATTCATTAAAAATTATTTTTAAGAAAATGGTAATGAGGGAAAAAAAATATTTTTTTATTTTATTATTAGAAAAAATGTTTTTCTGAAATCGGTTACAATTTTATTTTTTTTTAAACTAGTATTTTTTTGCTATTTTTTATTAATAATTATTGTGACAAATTAATTTATTTTATTTCTTTTTTTGTCATGTTTTTTTTTTCTCCTTTTACGGTTAACACCTTCATCTCGTGTTTAGCAACGCACGTATCTTAACGACGAAAATCACGTACAGGAACATCGAAACTTTTCTCTCTAGACTTTGCTTTATTGCTCGGTACTAAAGCTTGTACGAGGACCCCAGTCTTGCCAAATTAGCGCTGAAGACTAAGAAGCAACCCATCCCCTTTAATTTCTTTTTCTTACTTTTCAACTTATCAGGAGCGTCGGAAAATGAGTTTTAAACTTTGCAACATTTCCAGACACTTTTCTTATATACATATATATGTATATAATAATTTTTGACGAATTTATTTCTTAATTGAAATTTTAGTAAAAAAAATTTAATACTTACAAATTATTAAATAATTAAATATGAATATCAAATATAAATATTAAATATAAATATTCAATATTAATAAAAATATTAAATAAAAATATTAAATATAAATATTAAATATAAATATTAAATATTAAATATTAAATATTAAATATTAAATATTATTTAGAAAATAAATTTAAATTTTGTGAAAAGAATTTTATTGAGTTATAAAAAAAAATTGTAAATTGAAAAAAAAAATGCTGAGAATTTTATATGCAAATATTTTGCGATTCTCAGTGTACTTATTCATTTTGCTTGAAACGTTTCACTTGTAACAGAATATATATATATATGTATATAGTGCACTGAGTTGCAATTGTGCTTTTATTTGTACATTTAAACTTGAGTATCTCAAGCTTTGTTTTGAAGAAGGTCTTTCCTTTTCAGAATTTATTTTCACGACGAAACGTGAACCTTTAATGATTCGAAGTTTTAAGTAACAAATGCCGGATGCAAAAACAAACGTTTATATTTTAACGAAATCTAGTATCCGTGTTTGCCTATATACGAATCGTTTATATATATATATGTATAGTGAATGGCGAGCTTTATGATCACGTAAAACAAGCCCGGAAGCGCGATAATGCAGGGTTGATCGTAAAATATTTTATCACTTCGGTGAAATAGTGTACGAAATTATTTGCAATTCCTTCCACTTCACTGTATGGACTATACACTCCTTGTTTGTGCCAACCATTATATATTCCATATATGTATATATATATATATCCAAAAGTGTGCCACTATCCAGTTATGATGCCTTCCAGAAATTCTACAAGAAAAATTTATCCTGATACCTTCAATTGATCCAATTTTTAAAAAATAAGTAATTTATCATTTTTTTTTCTAAAATTCATTTATAAACACTGTGTGACTCGGTTTTTTTTTTTTTTTTTAATTTAAACATTAAAATGAGAAATATTTTTTATTTTTAAATTTTCTGATTTAGTTTATATTTTTTTAAATTGGAATTTAACTTTTTTATTTTTAATTATAATTTAAAGAATATTAAATTAATTATTAATTTTTAATTATAATTTATAATTATTAATTAAATTAAATATCTAGTTCTAAATTAATTTATGTTTAATAATTTTTTTTTCATATTTTTTAATTTCCTTTCATTCGAGTGAAATTTTTGTTAAAATAAAAATTCGCTGGGAAATTATTTATAAATAACGGTTTTTATTATAAATTTATATTTCCGTTTTAATTGTCCTTTTTTTTCTCATGTAATATTTTCGATTCTATTGTTTTTGTATATATGAGAATTTGTGTGAGAGAGAGAAATGTCATTTTGAAAGGTTACTGTGTGGAGGGATTGAGAGTCACCCTTTGTTGAAAATCCTATATATATGTATCTTTTTTTTTTAAAGAAAGAAAACTGTAAATTCATCTGTATCCTTTTTTTGTTTTTTTTTTTTTTTTTTTGTTTCTGTTTTATATAGAACGAAGCCGGCAGAGCGCGAGGGAGTGCCGTGCTCGTAAAAAGTTGAGATATCAGTACCTGGAAGAGCTTGTCGCCGATAGAGAAAAGGCCGTGATGGCCCTCCGAAAGGAGCTAGACATGGTAAAAACAAAAAACAAAAAAAAAACTTAACTTTTTTTGTTGTTTTGTTATATTTCTTATATATTTCTCACATGTTTCATTTCTCTAATCTTTTGCGCTTGCTTTCTATTTTTCTTTTTATTGCTGTCTTTCTCTCTATTTCTTTCACTGCTCCTTTTTTTTTTTTTTTTTTACTGGTACTCACTCTGTCAGAAATCTTTTTCACTTTAATATTCATAGAGAACTTTGCCTGAAGACGTTTTACAGTTTTTCAGCAAATTTTTCATAATGTCGTTTCTCTTTGATATAATGCATCAAAATTCATAATTTTTTTCAATTTTCGATTATTTCATCATATTTGGATATTTTTTTTTCTTTTTATTCAATTTTTCTATTTTTTATTAATTTAAAATTTTTATTAAAAAAAAAATGTATATTATCATAAAAATAAATGTCCTAAAATCTTTTTCCAATTTTTTCAGTATCGTTTTTGGGGACAGGAGTTGGATTCAGGTCGAGTTCCTGAGGGAATACAAGCGATGCTGGAGGAACTTGGTTCCATGAAAAAGGAGGCGAACAACAACTAAAATAAAACCACGTGCCTTCCAGCAGAAACTCCAAAAAAAAATCCTTTGTTTTATGTTTTAAGTGTGTTTACGCTTTACAGTTGTGTTTTTTTTCTCATTAAGTTAAACAATCAGTTAACATTTTTTTTCAACTCGATCTTCCCGTAGAATAATCGTTTTATTACCTCTGGAAGGTAAATTATATTATTATTATTTTTTTTTAGTTACATTTTTGGACCTTTTAAAGTACCTGAATCAATTTTCCAGTCTCTACCCAGTAACTGTTTTTTTTTTTTTTTTAAAGACCTATATCAGAGATCTACTAGTTCAGTTTAGTTTTTATCCTAGAAGAAGATAAAAAAGAGGCTCTGATCCGTTGATTTTTTATTTGTTTTTTTACATTCTTGCAATTATTGCGAGAATATTTATTTTTTTTACTTTATTATTAAAGGCATTAAAATATAGAGAGAATTTTGTCTTATATATTAGAAAGAGAGTCTTTATTTTTATCAATTTATTTTTTGATTTAATCAAAATAATAGAATATATTATAAATAAATATACAGAATCGCTATTTTTATCAGAGTTACGCTTTTAGAATTTCTTCATAATAATTGAGAGAAAATATCGAGGAAAAACAGTCTTTTTTATACTTATTAACTCTCGTGAGAAACGTCCCTTGAAAAGAAACAGAATGAATAATAAAATTATTTTATTGAATTTTCGGATAATTATTATAGCTATTAATAATGATAAACTATTTTCTGTCACTTTTCAAGAAATGTGCTGTAATTATTGTACCATTATTATTGTAATAATAGTTAAGACAACCATTGTACATTGTAAATTAAAAAAAACAATACATTATCAATACAAAAAAACTATTTTGTATTTTCTGATCCTTTTACTATTATTCACTTTTAAAAATAATTTTCTTTATTTTTAATGAATTTCAGAATTTGTATTTAGAATTTTTTTCAAAATTTATTGTATTATTAATATATGCGGGAGATTATTAAATTCAAATTTGAATTATTTTCGCGCTAAAATATTTGTTTCACATTGTGCGCATGCTCATAAGAGACAGAGACAGTCACTGTTTTGACTAGGTTGGTTAATCGACGTCGAGTGTCGAACGTGCGTCGTAACGATCCGTGATTTATAACAATAATTTTACATAAAATGTGTTTTATATTTTGGTTTATTGGTAATCGTAACGATTGAGTGTTTTTTTTACTAGTAAAAAGTCAATTTTGTGTTGAAAATCATAAATCGATCACGTATCATGAAAATTGACGCAATATTACTTTTTAGGTTTGTTCATACAATTTACTTTTTTCCATTAATAAAATTAAATATTTCAACTCTTAAATGGGTTTAAAACTTTTTTTTATTATTATTTTATGCTTTTTTAATTGTATTTATGTTTAATTTGGTAAAATTATTATTTTTTACAAAAAATTTGCCACTACATTTCTGCGCATGCGTAGAATGTAATATTGGTGCTGCCATTTATTTCCGATCAGCATTTGGCAAGTGGACACAGTAGTGTAAAGATATCGTTCAATTATTGAGTAAATTTTCATAAAATATATATTTTAGTGTTCTGAAAGATGAATAATCTTTATTAATACTTGTTTCCTATAACCAAACGAGTATATTTCTTGTTGCAAATAGTAAATTGAGAAGGTAATCATTGAAAATATCATAAAATTTTTTTGTTGGTTAGGTTAATAATTTTTTTATTTTCATCGATACATATCAAAATATTTCAATTCATGATTACTTTTACTAGTCTTTTTGGAAGTTGTTTTAATAAAATTTGCTTTAAAACAATTTTTTTTCCCCTCGAAATACTTGACTTCTGCGCATGTGCACAAGATACAGTCATAGAGTCCTTCATCTGACTACAGTGGTTAATCGACAATATTGTCGAGTGTGCATCGCAATGTTCCGTTATTTTTTATAATAATTTTACCTAAAATATGTTTTATATTTTGGATTATTGGTAATCGTAACGATTAAATGTTTTTTTTACTAGTAAAAAGTCCATTTTGTGTTGAAAATCATAAATCGATCAGGTATCATGAAAATTGGCGCAATATTACTTTTTAGGTTTGTTCATACAATTTACTTTTTTCCATTGATAAAATTAAATATTTCAACACTTAAAACTTCTTTTTATCATTATTTTATGCTTTTTTAATTGTATTTATATTTAATTTGGTAAAATTATTATTTTTTACAAGAAATTTGCCACTAAACTTCTGCGCATGCGCAGAATGTAATATTGGTGCTGCCATTTATTTCTGATCAGCATTTGGCAAGTGACCACAGTAGTGTAAAGTTATTGTTCAATTATTGAGTAAATTTTCATAAAAATATGTATTTTAGTGTTCTGAAAGATGAATAATCATAATTAATACTTGTTTCCTATAACCAAACGAGTATATTTCGTGCTGCAAATAGTAAATTAAGCAGGTAATCATTGAAAATGTTATAAAATTTTTTTGTTGGTTAGGTTAATAATTTTTTTATTTTCATGAATATATAACAAAATATTTCAATTCATGATTACTTTTACTAGTTTTTTGGAAGTAAAATTTGTTTTTTATCCTGTTTTAATAAAATTTGCCTTAAAACAAATTTTTTTTACCCCACGAATTACTTGACTTCTGCGCATGCGCTCAAGATACAGTTATAGAGTCATTCATTTGACTACAGTGGTTAATCGACGTTGAATCTCGAGTGTGCCTCCCAATGATCCGTTATTTTTTATAATAATTGTACATAAAATGTGTTTTATATTTTGGATTATTGGTAATCGTAACGATCGAATGTTTTTTTTTACTAGTAAATAGTCAATTTTTTGTTGAAAATCATAAATCGATCAGGTATCATGAAAATTGACGCAACATTACTTTTTAGGTTAGTTCATTCAATTTACTTTTTTCCATTAATAAAATTAAATATTTCAACTCTTAAATGGGTTTAAAACTTCTTTTTATCATTATTTTATGCTTTTTTAATTGTATTTCTGTTTAATTTGGTAAAATTATTAGTTTTTACAAAAAATTTCCACTACACTTTTGCGCATGCGCAGAATGTAATACTGGTGCTGCCATTTATTTCCGATCAGCATTTGGCAAGTGGCCACAGTAGTGTAAAGATATCGTTCAATTGTTGAGTAAATTTTCATAAAAATATATATTTTAGTGTTGCGGAAGATGAATAATTGTAATTAATACTTGTTTTAAAAGACCAAACGAGTCTAAATTGCGCAGCGAATAGTAAATCGAACAGGTAATCATTAAACATTTCATAAAATGTTTTTGTTGGTTAGGTTAAAAAATTCGTTTTTTTTTAAATCAAAAGATTGATAATCATAATTAGTGCACATTCTTTTAATATCAATGAATAAATTTTTGGATGAAAATCATAAGCTGATAACGTATTTATAAAAATTGTTATAAAGTTACTTTGTTAGGTTATATTTCACAATTAGCAAAATTATTAAAAATCGACTAAATTTTCGCTTTGTTTGTCAAATGGCTGTGTAATTTGATAACAAAATCTTTGAACAAAATAAAGATTTTAGCAATTAAATACTTAACATTCGCATATACAATTATTTATTGTTTTTTTGAATATGTTATTGATGTTAAAAGTAAAATTTATTTTTCCTGAAAAAAATTGAAATTTTTTTAAATTTAATTTTGAATAAATTATTTTTGTTGCAAATTTGTATGTTTGGTTAGGAAAATTTTTAGGAAATAAATTATAAATCAAAGTAAAATAATAATTTTTTTTTCTTATATTTTAAAAAAAATTTTAAGTTTATTTTTATTTGAATTTTAGAAATGACTTTAATGAAATTATTTAATTAAATTAATTATTGAATATGGTCATTCAGGTCATTCATCCAATTAATAAATAAATTAATTAAATAAAAAAAATATTTATATTTAACTATTGTATGTTTATGTATAAATTTTTTTTCAGTTTGTCAGAGAAAATTTCTTGATGAGTGTTCGTTGCGATGCTGCTCCTGAAGGAGATCTTGATTGGCTGAGCCCAATATTTTTGCTACAAGTTTGTATCTTGTTTGGTTTAGAATATTTTTTTTCTCAAACTATAAATAGTAAATTAAATAATAATTTTATTATTTTTCTATGATTATAAAAAATTTTAAGTTTATTTTTGTTTGTGGTTTAGAAATTATTTTTATTTAAATTAATTAAAAAAAAATATTTCATGATAAAAATAAATTTTGTAATTTAATTTTTTTATATTTATGTATAAAATATTTTTTCAGTTTACCAGTGTTTATTTTTTGATGGGTGTTTGTTGCTGAGCTGCTCCTGGAGGAGATCTTGCATGGCTGAGCGCAGTTCAATGTTAGTTGATAAACTTTTTTTTCGATATTTTACAAATTATATTGTTGAATTAATTTAAATAAAATAATTTGATTTTTATTTTTCATATTTATGTTTTTTATTATTAAATTATAATTTATAATTACATACATTATTAATTATTTTATGTTTTTCTTAAAAAAAATTTCAGACAGTTGGTGCAGTGCAGAGGAAGTTTCATCTTTTTGCTGTCATCGTATCTATCTTTCACAGTGTGTGAATAAGTGAAAGTAAGTCTTTTTTCATTAGTTTATTTTAATATTTAAAAAATAATGTCGAAATTATTTGTGAAATTGAAACAAAAGTTAGTGATTTTTTATAATTAATTAATTCATAAAAACGCAGATGGTTGCGATTATATTTTTACCATTACCTTGTGAAATTATTTATTCTTTTTTAATAAATTTTTTTTTATTTTTTCAGAGTGTGCTCAAGAAAGGAAGGACATGAAGGAAGGATGTGGACGAAGAAAAGTGGCCCCAGCATGCTGCCATATTATTTTCCAAATGTAGTCTATTTTTTTTTTATTTTATTTTTTTGCTGGCAGCATCCCCCCCGACCTGTGCAGAAGTGCAGGAAGAGACAGGGATCTCGGGGGTGGTCCAAGAAGAAGCCAAGGTAGGGGCATTGGTTATCATTGCTCCAACGTTGGATCGCCGATCGGTGAGTCGTATTTTTGTTTAAAACCTTCCCTGTTTTAATTTGTTTCATTAATCAATTTTCGTTGCATCAAAAAATTAATTACAATGAAATTTAATTCATAAAATGAAAATTAATTTGTTTTTAATATTTTTAATTTATTAATTTTCGGAATAATTTTTTCTACATTACGAAAAAATGAATGAATTATATTATATTATATTCATTCAATCGTAATATTAAAAACAGGGAGGGAATCCTTTCAACATGGTGACATCATTGACAAAATTTATTATTTTATGTAGTAATTTTTATAATTACTACTTTGTCTCTAAATTTGAATTGTTGGTTAAAAATAACTAATTGTTAGCAAAAGCTTGGCTCACTTTTTTTTTATCAATTCTTTAACAATAACTAAATTTCAGTAAAATATTAAATAAAAATTTTTTATTTTATAAAATTTTAATTGAAATTTTTTTTTAAATTCTTTAGTGATTTGTTACTTCCAATTAAATAATTAGTAGAAACTATTTGAATCAGTGACTGATTTTTTTTGCTATCAATTTACAGTTATTTTTGATTAATTCAAATTAAGAGAATGAATTAATATATTTTTGTCAATTTTTTCTTCTCTATTGTTATTGTATGTGTATGTATGTGTATAATTTTGAGCTCAGGTGACGGTAACGGTCCCGGGACGTTAGCCCTAGTTTAGGTCCTTTGCACCTGGGTGGTATGTGAGATTCGGCGATTGAAAAATAGAATTTTTTATTTTAAATATAGCTATAGGTAGGAAGGAATAGCTTTTTTTTTGTATGAGTGTGTTT